AAGGAAACAAGTAACAAAGTGAGGAAGTAATGGGAGAAAATCTTTACACACTATGCAACTGATAGGGGACTAATATCCAGGGTTTACAAAAAGCTTCAGAAACCCAGAAACAGTAAAAAACAAAAACAAAAACAAAAAACCTGTAAAGAAATGGGCAAAGGAAATGAAGACACATTTTTCAAAAGAACAAATTCAAATGGTAACACACATGAAAAGATGCTCAGGCTTCCTAGCTGCCAGGGAGACACAAGTGAAAACCACATTAAAGTTCCACCTAACTCCAGTCAGATTGGCCTATATTCAGAACTTACTAACAACACCTGCTGGCGTGGATGTGGGGAGAAAGGCGCCCTCCACACAGGTTTTAAAATACCTGTTTTGGGTTGGTATCATGGAACAGTGAGTTAAGCTGCCGCCATGAGACTGACATTCCATATCAGACTGTCAGTCTGAGTTCTGGATACTCTGCTTCTCAATGGGCTTCTTGCTAACGCACCCAGGAAAATGGGAAAGAGGCACAAGTGTGTGAGCCTCTGATATTCACATGGGAGACTTGGGTGGAGCTCTGGACTTCAATATTTTTAAAAATCCACCTAGTTTGGTTTCAGTGCATTTCTTAATTGAGCTTAAGAAAAGAAACAAAACACTAGCAAGCCATCAGACTATTCAATGAAAATGTATTTCACATTAGACAGAATGTATACATCATGCAAATGAAGCATCACCACAGTTACAATGGTGCTGTGAGGTTACAACAGATCACAACACATGGGACATTAAAATAAAGCTCTAATAAATACGGTAAGGTATTTTTTTTTCTGAAAACCAGATCATGCTGTCATTTTCTGTGTGCTTATCATAAAGGGGATTTTCCCTTTAATATTCACCAAGACCAGTGGCATTGTATTAAAGGTTGCATGTGTTTTTATTTAGTATATACACATACACAGACATACACAGTTTCTGTAACTGATAAAATTTTAAACAGTCGCTGGCATTAAGAGCGCATGAACAAGATCGTTACTAGGACTTCTTTATATCTCCTGGTTGCAAATTCCCCTCAAATTATGGATCTTTCCAAATCTTTTACTGCAGAAGTCAAAACACAAGATGCAATTAACAAAAAGATCATTTGAAACCGAGTCACATTTCACCAGAAATAAAATTTAGGAAATAGCATTACATGGCATAAGTATGCAGAGTATACATTCTAGTGTAATTTTTTCCCCAGTAAATTGTTTCTCCATGTTGAAGTCTATCAAAGTGATACACTGAGATCAACTTCAGGTTCCCTTGTTTCAGATAACTTATGATTTCCATTTGTTCCAGATTTCACTGTAGTTGAGCAAATACAGCAGCAAACAATGAAAACCCCTCAAGACCTAATAAACAACAGCTAAAACATGGAAATCAATCACCTGCACATGAAACACATGATTTATTCATTTGGAGAGGTAACTGATGGTTTGGAAATGACCACAATTTGGAGATTTTAAGGTGTGATATGAAAGGCTTCTTGCTAGATATATAATTGCCCATACATATAAGAACATACCTAAGAAAACAGAAATTTTATTAAATACTAATTACTTCTTTATTCAACCAAGCTTATTACTTTCACCCCAAAAGAATAATGTGGGGCAATGCATTTTTGCAGTGGACAAAGCTTAATACTAAAAAAGGCTTCTTGATGGCACCTTCCCTGATGCCAGGGAAAGAGAGGGCAGGGGGAGAGCGGAGGGGGAGAAAACTTTTCAATTTCTCCTTCTAAACAAACACAGGGAGATAGCAGCCCAAGCTGTGTACATGTGTAACTAGAGTTTGGGAAAATATCTAGAATAGTTTACAGAAAAAGACACCTAAATGTTTATGTGTTCCAACTTTGGGAAGAAGCATAGCTATGAATTTCTGAGCTAGAATTCTTCAAGTTATCCAGAGATCACTATGATAATAGAGCGGTACAGAGAGTGCCTTGGCGGCAGCAGAAGCTTATAAACACTACTGTAGAATGAGAGTGCCACAGGCCGACAAGCAGAGTGGTCAGTGTGTGACATCCTAGCGAGGGAGACAGTGACATGGCAGCTAATACCCGGGGATCCACATGTCAAGGATGACAGGAGCTTCAGGTGATACCAGCAGCTTCACAGTTGCCAAGCAGCACCTGTGTTAAGTCAAAAACAAAACCAGATACAGGTAATGAACAAACTGAGCATTTTGCAGTTTGCAGCGTGTATTCTCTCTCACTGATACAGAGTATGGTCTTTATGTTTTCCTTAGCTTACACAATATTTTCTAACAGAAGTACTGTACTAATTGACACAGGATTATTCTTTCAGGCCGGGCAAATTTTCCTTGCGTGGCGCCTTGTGAAAACCTGTAAGAAGGCTGACCGTCAGCATGCCCCCATCTTTTGTGATAACAAAACCCAAGGAGGTATTTCCATATCTCTCCTAATGAAAATTTGAGAAGTAAATGAAGTCACAAATGAAAATATGCCTGTAGTATGAACAAAATTATTTACTCAATACTTTTTTTTCTTTTTGGACAAGTTTTTGCATATTTAGTTAAGAGATAAGAAATAAGTCTAAATGCTTGTGGATACTTTTCTAACTTTTTTTACTTTTTCAGAGCCTTACTGCATAGTGAGATAAGCGAACTCAACAGAAGCTAATTACGGTAAGGTATATTAATCACAAAAGAGACTTCTCCATGAGCTCTGGCACTATCAGGGAAACGGCGCTCGGATGAAGGAAGCTGCTCTCCCGACCAGGCGAGCCCAACAGCGGCTTGTCATGCATCTCCCTCGCACACAGCAAAGGGTTGCAACAGCCTTCCCAAGAACCAAGAGAAACGGGCTTTAAAACACTTGTTGGGCCCGGCGCGGTGGCGCAGTGGTTAAGATCCTCACCTTGCACACCCGGGATCCCATATGGGCGCCGGTTCTATCCCGGCAGCCCCGCTTCCCTTCCAGCTCCCTGCCTGTGGCCTGGGAACGCAGTCGAGGACAGCCCAAACCCTTGGGAACCTGCACCCGCGTGGGAGACCCGGAAGAGGCTCCTGGCTTCGGACTGGCTCAGCTCCAGCCGTTGTGGCCGCCTGGGGAGTGAATCATCGGACGGAAGATCTCCCTCTCTGTCTCTCCTCTCTGTATATCCGCCTTTCCAATAAAAATAAAATAAATCTTAAAAAAAAAACACTTGTCAATAGGCAAGAGCTGAGAGCAGACACAAAAACACATAAAACACAACGACCATGAAAATGGGTTCTCACAGGTTTCCTCATTTGAGAAATAAATATTTGCGTTAAATCACTTCCGGAGTTAAATTTCTGTTACTACAGGAGTAGAACATTATAAAAAATAAAGTGAGTGCTAAGAATATAAAAGTGTTTTTAAGAGTTTGATGCAGGAACAACAACTGTAATTAGCTATAAAAGGATGCAGCGACAGATTCTAATTATGCTCCCAATATTCATAATCAAATAAACTTCAAACTTAAATAATCAAATGTGGCATTTTCTAAGAGTTAATTTATTTTATTGGAAAGGCAGATATACAGAGAGGAGGAGACGTAAAGAGGAAGATTTTCCGTCCGATGATTCACTCCCAAGTGACCACAATGGCTGGTGCTGCACCGATCCGAAGCCAGGAGCCAGGAGCTCTTCCGGGTGTCTCACGCGGGTGCAGGGTCCAAGGCTTTGGGCCGTCCTCAACTGCTTTCCCAGGCCACAAGCTGGGAAGTGGAGCTGCCGGGATTAGAACCAGTGACCATATGGCATCCTGGTGTGCTCAAGGCAAAGACCTTAACCATTATGCTATCGCACCGGGCCCAAATGTGGCATTTTTAAAAATTTTTGTTTTTATTGGAAAGTCAGATATACAGAGAGGAGGAGAGACAAAGAGGAAGATCTTCTGTGGCCATCGGCATTAGAACCAGTGCCCATATGGGATCCCAGCGCGTCCCAAGGCAAGGACTTTAGCCATCAGGCTACTGCGCTAGGCCCAAATATGGCATGTTTTTAACTAGATCCATGTAACTGTACAGATACTCTGATTCAAATAAACGTAACTTCTAGAAAATTTTCCAAGGGAACAGGCCAAAGATGGGGGGAAAACTACAGGGTAAAAACTATAAAGTGAATACTTTAGTCTCCCTTAGGAATCAGTAAAGAACAGATGTTGGCTCTGCAGGAAACAGGAATGGGTCAACAGAACAGTAAGCATTTGGTCCAACATTCCTCAATGTTCATGGATAATCCTAGACAGACTGTGGGACCTTGCTAGGAAACTAAGGGGGAAGATTCAATTTATTAGCACTACCTTGAACATATTAGAGCAATCTCTCCTTCAAAAAACCACGCTACTTGGCCAGCACAGTGGCTCAACTGGCTAATCCTCCAACTCCAAGAGCAGGCATCACAAATGGATGCCAGTTCATGTCCTGACTGTTCCATTTGTCATTTAGTTCCCTGCTTATGGCCTTGGAAAGCAGCAGAGTGTTGCCTAATTTGTTGGGCGCCTGCACCCATGTGGGAGACCCAGAACAAGCTCCTGGTTTCTGATAGGCTCAGCTCCAGCTGTTGTGGTCACTTGGGGAGTGAACTTTCAGATGAAGATCTTCCTCTCTGCCTCTTCTTCTATCTGTAAATCTGTCTTTCCAATAAAAATGAACAGATCTAAAAAATATATCTATGGTGCTGCTCCAGGCCTGGTGTGGCTATACCTAAATGGGGAGTGGTTAAGCCTCGAGTCAGTACTTCTCAGCTTCTCTGGGCACAGAGTCCCAACAGTCGGAGCAGACAGGGCAGGCAGTGTAGAAGGCTCATGCACAAAGGAGCTGCTGCAAAGTTACCAGCTCTTCTTGCGTGTGCTACCACATGCGCCATCACAGTTTTGTATTCAGAACCTTCAGTGAGATACCAATCCTGTGTGCACAAGCCCCAGCTGCAGATTTAGAATAAGATCAAAGGACTGTACCTTCATTACAGTTAAGCTGCATTAGTCAACAGAAGCTGTGCAGACTGGCTTCCTGGCCAGGACTGTTAAATCCTTCAATGAGGTTTTTATTACAGTCATCCAGGCTGAGACCTTCACTGGACGGCTTGGGGAACGTTGGGGGGCCGGTGAAATCTAAGAGATCTTGAAGTGCTCGGGCGTTGCCAGTTCCATTTTGGTCCAGAGACATCCCGGGAATCATTTCACTCACTGGTGAAAACTCTGGGATGGATATAAGCTCTTCTTTTGAAGCAGGACTAGTAGAGGGACATACACAGCAACAAATGTCACACATGTGCGCGTATGTGTGCATGTGCACACACACACAGGGACACAGAGAGAGAGAGAGAGAGAGAGAATATAAGAACCAAACACAACATATTTATTTGATTTATAACGTTTTGTTAGAAAACTCTTCTAGAAGATAGATTTAGGATTGCAAGTTGTATGTAATACAACTGAAATGAAGAGCTCGAATCTGAGGTGTTACACCTCCACGGATGAGAATCAAGCAGACTGAGCAGTGCTGTAAAAGTCGAGTTCACACTACTCAAAGGGTAAAAGGAAGAAACTCCCAGAGGCACTAGTTCTGTGAAGGAGCAAGGCACTTCTAGAACTTCCAAAATGGTACATTCAAATAGAGAGTAAATGTTGCAAGTTCACCAGGAGGTGAGGAGGGGAACTGCGCGCTGCCCATGCTGCCCTTCTGTCTCTGCCACCTGGGCCATATGCCCTTCTGCACTACGACCCGGCTTCTTCCCTTGTAAAATTGGAAAAATTCTGCCACCATGGATCCCTACAGGGCTCCTGGGAGTGGGGGTTTTACGGTGCTGAGCAGAGACAGCTAAAGGAAGTGCTCCCTGAGGAATCATCATTGAATCCCATGCAGAGTGAGCCGCACACTGCTCCCTTGCACAGCCAGGCTTCCAATACACCCTGATTTCTCCAGCTCTCCCAGCTGAACCTGCTGCGTTTTCTCTCTCCCGACTTACCCTACAGTCAGTATTGGATCTGTCTCTAGGTAAAGGGCACCCGGGGCAGGCAACAACAGGGTACACTGTATTCTGTGTCTAGTGTTTAAGTAAACTTGTCATTGGAGACTTAGTAAAGGCACTAAGTAGCATGTCAGTGACCGAGCTGCCAAAAGAGCCAATGCAAGTACAGAATGGTGGCCTGTTCCTAGGAATCTTAGCAGCCACAGAAAGGCTCTGCCAGCTTCTTTTCTTCGTTACTTAAATCTACGAGAGGAATCTAGAAAAAAACAGCTCAACTGTAGAAGCTCCATTTCCCTGAATCCTAAACCTAGTTAAGGGACAAAAGCTGACCTAACAGCACTGAACAACTGGTCAGAACACGGGAAGACAGAAAGTGAGCATTTGCCTGGGTATGCAAATGAAGAGGGGACAAAAGCGAGAACTCGGGTAACACAGGAACCCTTCCACATTTGTAAACTTTGGGTCAGGGTGACCTCCTCCTACTCTCAAGCATAAATAAGTAATGCTGGCTTAATACGGGGAGGGGAATCTGGCACAGTAGCCTACTGACTTAAGTCCTCGCCTTGCACACACTGGGATCTGGTTCATGCCCTGGTAGCCTCGTTTCCCATCCAGCTTCCTGCTTGTGGCCTGGGAAAGCAGTAGAGGACGGCCCAAAGCCTTGGGACCCTGCACCCATGTGAGACACCTGGAGGAGGCGCCTGGCTCCTCGCTTCGGACTGGCTCAGTTCTAGCTGTTGCAGCCACTTGGGGAGTGAATCAGTGGCTGGAAGATCTTCCTCTTTCTCTCCCCTCCTCTTTGTATATCTGATTTTCCAATAAAATAAATCTTTAAAAAATAAAATATGGGGTAGGGGATTGTTGGATTAACCCTTAATGCTCCACAGTTATTTTCTACCAGGGGCAGAGTGGCACCAGTTAGGGTAAGCCTGCCTTGGTGTTATAATGGGTGAGGGTACAGGGAGGTGGCAAATATAAGATCCAAGTAACGGCTAAGTTTGCTAGTTGTCAGTCTGCATGGGACTTGCTCTACCAGTAATGTGACTGGTGGATCCTGGAGCAGATGAGGTGGGATATGTAGAATCAACATGCTATAGAAAACAAACGCCCACACATGCACAAAGCTGAGAACTCACACCCAGAGAGAGAAGGTAAAATTCTAGCAAGCTGGAGCTCTGATAGAGCTGTTTTTTAAAAATACTGTCACTCCCCCCAGATGCAGGCAACTGCCGAGGCTGCTTTGTACTTAGGCAAGTATTACACCACTGGGAGAAAAGCAGCCAAGGCTGGCAGGCATTCTGGGCCTGGTTAAGGCAAAATCTGTATTAAATATTCCAGTGTGCCAGTATAATTGCCTATTCTATTCTTCTTTTTTTCAAGATATGTGGGAAAGACAGCGAACACTAGGCTGGGACATGCCACCCAAATCCCCAGGCGGGGGGGGGCGGCTTGGGACATATTGGAGTGGGAGAGGTTGAGGGCATAGTTGACATGGAACAAATGATTTCTATGGGCTTCCCTGGACCCACCCACTGCACTCCCAGATAGGTGAGAGGTTTAGAGTGGGGAGGGCATGTCTAGGTCAGGCCAAGGCAACTGCCTACATGGGAGACCTGGGCTAGACCAAATAGCATTGCCTGCCGCCCACTGGCGAACAAAAAAGCTGGCGCTGGGGGGCATGTGTGGCTGAGCAAGGCCACAGTATCCACTTGTGAGTGTTAGAGCAGGGTTGGGTTGCTAGAATGGGCCACAACACCAACAAGAATGTGAGAGAATTAGGTCTGGGGACAGATTCTGTAGCCGACTTGTGAGCTTGACTTTGTGGGACTGCAGTATGCATCAGAGCTAGAGGTTATGATGGGCCATGCCAGGCTGGACCATGGAACTCACCTGACAGGAACCCACCTGACACTTGGCAGAGCCAGGGCTGGGAGGAGGCCAGGCAGGGCCAGGCTGCAGTGTCCACCAGCACATGCAAAGGCCAGGCCTGAATGCAGACCATGCCCAAGCATGGCCATGGCACCCACTGACACACGTGAGATCCTGGAAGGGGAACTTTGGGAATTCCTCTGCTTAGGTTGCAGCTCAGTAGCTTGGGCTGGAGGTAGGCTATGCCAGGCCAGTTAGGGCTATAGCACTCATTACCATTTGTGTGGTCCAGGTCTAGACCTGTTTGGGAGCAGGCCAGGCTGGAACAGGCTGCAGCACCCAGTGGCATGTATGAGAGCCAGGACAGGGTGTAGGCCATGCCAGCTGGCTAAGCTGCAACACCCACCAGCAGGCTGGGCTACAGCATATGCTGGCACACACAGAAACCAGTGCTGGGGCATACGTGGTTGGGATTATTAGAAGTTGCCTTGACCAGGCTGTGGCACACACTAGTGTACATGAAGACTTGGCCTGTGGTTGGTTGAACTGGGCTAAGCATGCATCAGTTCACATGAGAAATGGGACTGTGGTGTCACTAACCAGGCAGCTGCATCTATCGGTATGTGTGTTGGTTGGCAGAGCTGACACAACGAACCTGACCCTGAACTGGCTGGCACACATAAGAGTCAAGTCTGAAGTCATCCCAGGTGAAATGTCTTGGGGGCCTCCTCAAGCAAATGGCTAGACTCAAGCCCTGGACACAGGGAAATCACAACATGTGGTCAGTCCTTGGAGTGCAGGAGTCAAGACTGGGTCTCCTCAGTTGCTGATGCCTATGCGGTGGACAGCATGTCCAGACACACATGGGGGACATGACAGTCAACTCATCTAGGCTAGCAGAGGACAATGAGTGCTTCATCAGAGGATGGAAAGCAAAACAGCTTGGACCACTCTCCTGGCCAAGACTTGCAGCATGCTCCTGGGTCTGTGGATGCACTAAGGTGGATCTGGTCAGTGAATAGACCTTATATGTTCTCATTCCAGGTGCAATGAAGCTGATGGCTTCTCAGAACTATTAAGGCTACTCAAGAAGCACCCTTGGAACACTCTTCCCCACACAGGGATCTCTAGGGCATCATCAAATGACCATCCCTCCATCCCTGGGTGATGATGTAGTTAGATGGCAAGGAGAGGCCCCTTCCCTCCCTGCAAACACAGAAGAAAAAATGAAACATTTGTCCCACCCACCTTTCTCTATTACCTAGACTTTCCCCACCATAATCAGAGACGCACATGGGCATGAATCACTATCAACTAAGTAAACAATGTTAAAAATATAATAACAATGATGATGTCACTTTTTGACTGAGACAGCCAGCTCTTACTCCAACTGCTCTGCCCAAAGCTGCCTGCCTAAGTGCTTCTGCTCCAGGCCTGTGCCAATCAGTCATTTTGGCTGAGATCAATTTGCCAGGTCAAATTACCTACAAATACAATACAAATTTAAGAATTCCTTAAGACTTTAGGATCTGAAGGCCAAAGGGTTCTCTCCTAGCTCTTCAGTGACAAGTTTACTTAAACAACAGAGACAGGATTCAGTGGACGCTGCTGGTGTCTCCCCAAATGCCCTTTACCTGCGGACACATCCAATACCCATGTCCCTTCTGCTTCGCTGCCGCAATCCAAGCTGACTGTAAAGACTTAAAAGCTGTCACAGTTCATCTGGACAATTGCCTCTAGCTGACTGGCCCCTGCATCTCCTACCCCCGGGGAACAGTGATCCACAGTGAATGAGTGACACATACAGTGGCACAGCAGCTGAAAACTCTGGTGAAACGTCACCGTCCAGAGCCCCCTATAGGATGCTCAGTGCCTTCTCTCCCTCTGCCTTCTGTGGGTGCTCCTCTCAAGAAACCACATGCCTAGACACTCCATCCCCGGCTCTGCTTCGAGGGAACTTAACCCAAGATACTGACTTTAGAACACTAATAACTTTCTTGTAATGTCAAGCAATCCTGCTTTATTAAAGATACACAAAAGAATCAAAAGTTGTGATATTTGGAGAAGAGATAAAGCTTAACTAAATGCAAAAGAAATTGACATACCTCACATCCATAGACTGAACCTCTTCAGTAGAATCATCTAAACTGTTTGATTTTCCATCAAGGCCATCCAGATGAATGAGTCCCCCAGCTGGTTTAAGCCCATTTGAGAAAATGTCTGGAGGAAAAACTTGTAGGGCAGTGTGCCCTACACCATTAACTTCCGGGGCAGTGCGCCCTACACCATTAACTTCCTGGCAGGTGTTCCACCCACTGATTTCTGATTGAGAACACAAGATTATTGTATCAGTCATAAAATACAACAGTGGAATAACAGGAAATACATATTCATTTAATATTTTGCATCACCAAAATGGTACAACATCTTTTGTGCAATGCAAGTAATCCATGTCCTCTGTTTTACAAAGCATCAGCTAATTAAGCAGCATCCATTTGGACACTCTGGAAAGGAGTAGAGCCACGGCTATGTACAACCTGAGCAGCAGACAGGCTCCGCAAAGAGCACCCCGGGGAGGCAGCCAGTGACTGCTGCTGTCCGCATTGTCAAGTAGCTGAGGAATCCTGGACTTTCTGATGGGCTGACAGTCCCTGACCTGGGAACTCTAAGATGCTTTTCCCCAGGAAGAAGACTTATGACCCCTCACTGCTGAAACAAAGAGCCTAAGCACCCAGTATCACTCACCTATTTTGTCAGGGACAACTGGTTTTATCTTATTTTCCATACGCACAGGAGGCTGAATCTCTACTTTGGGTTCTTCTTTCTAAAAACAATCAGAAGGTGGACCAAAAAAATTTTTAAAAAATGCTTATTGGGGTCAGACTCATGGCATAGTAACCTAAGACTTTGCCTGAGGTATTGGCATCTTTCGAATACTGGTTCGAGTCTCAGCTGCTCCACTTCTGACCTGACTGCTGGCTAATGTGCCTAGGGTGGTAGAGAAAAGATGAAAGTTCTTGAGACCTTATACCCAAGTGGAAAAGACGAAGAAGCTCTAAGCTCCTGGCTTCAGTTTGGCTCAGCTCCAGCTGTTGTGGCCATTTGAAGAGTGAACCAGCGGATGGAAGATCTCTCTCTCTCAGCTTTTTTTCCCTCTGTAAATTTGCCTTTCAAATAAAAATATATTTGACTCAAATTAGCACCCATATGGTAGGTCGGTATCACTACTATGCCATAGCTCTGGCACCATAAAACTTTTTTTAAAAAGACTTATTTACTTTTATTGGAAAGGTAGACTTATAGAGAGAAGGAGAGACAGAGAGAAAGAAGTTCTATCTGCTGGTTCACTCCCAAGATGGCTACAACGGTTAGAGGTGAGTTGATCTGAAGCCAAGAGCCCAGAGCCTCTTCTGGGTCTCCCATGTGGGTGCAGGGTCCTGAGGCTTTGGGCTGTCCTCGACTGCTTTCCCAGGCCACAGGCAGGGAGCTGCATGGGAAGTACAGCCAGGACATGAACTGGCACCCATATGGGATTTTTGTGTTTGCAGTTTGAGGATTAGCCAGTTAAGCCATTACATAGGATCTCCCCATATATCTTTTTTGTTTTTTTAATATAAAAGAGTATTTTAATTCTTGTCTTTAGAAACTATAAACACTACATGATTTGGAAATGAGACTATACCAAACAATGGTGAAAGGAGATTTGCCCACTCTATGCCTTCTCTTTTGGCTGCTCACTCACAAAGATAACGTTATTAGCAATGATGGTTGTCGCTTGTCACCTCACGTTGTTTTTATTCATATATTCACTGTAGTCTACTTTCCCTTCCGCCTAAATCTGAGACTCCTTTTCACATACTGATACGCCACATCTCTGAGGTTGGGCTGAAACTCTGATATTCTGAGCCATGCTGTTTTTGTCTGACATCACCCGTTTGGCATGTTTCATTATCTCCAGATCACCACATCTCATTTGTTGCAAGGGAAAATGTTGTGACTGGATTTTTTCCATCTATCTGTCTCATGACAGGTAGCTGCTAGGCTACTATGCTGGGCCCCCATATAGCTTTTTTTTAAAATACTTTTTCAAAGCATCAGAAGGGCCTGGTGTGGTAGCCTAGCTGCTAAAGTCCTCAGCTTGCATATGGAAACCAGTTCTAATCCTGGCGGCCCTGCTTCCCACTCAGCTCTCTGCTTCTGCCCTTGGAGAGCAGTCAAGGACAGCCCAAAGTCTTTGGTCCCTGCACTTGCACAGGAGACCCAGGGGAAGCTCCTGGTTCCTGGCGTTGGATTGGTGCAGCTCTGGCCATTGTGGTCTCTCCGGGAGTGAATCAGCAGATGGAAGATCTTTCTCTCTGTCTCTCCTCCTCTCTGTATATCAGACTTTGCAATAAAAAATAAAATAAATTAAAAAAATAGTCAGAAGATATTTGGAGTCTTGCTGGACTGTCACACTGTTTTACAGTAATTTCCATGCCTGTTTTACTCATGGGCCCAGGAGCCTCTGCCTGCATCCCACCCTTATTTCTCTGAGGAGCTCTTTCACATGCCATAGCTCTGAAACTCAGAAAATGTCCCTCAGAAGCATACATGCTCTGAACCAGCCAGGAACAAAGTAGGCAGAGTCCGCTTTTCTCTAATTCTCTCTGAGACCTACGACTGCGTGCGATGTATCATTCTGCCCGCCGTTTATACTCAGCACATAAAGTATTAGCAGACATTTGAATTCCCACCTTTACTTCTAGAGGTACATCACTCTTTCTTGTTCTCTTCATGATTTCATCTATCCTCTGGAAAGCAAAAAGGACAAATAAGATACCCATCAGACCAACAAGACAGGTAAGTAACTGAGTTCATTTGGAATTTTACATTTCTCGAAAAACTCAGACAAAAGTTGGCAGAAGAAAAACAGCATGGAGAGGTTTTCCAGTGACTTTACAGATGTATTACCTCGGGGGTCACAAAGGTTAAACGGCTGAGAAGCAAAACAGTGCACATCCAGAATCAAGATTCAACTTGCCTTGTTCCTCTTCTTAGACTCATTACACACTAACAAAGCATCACCCACTATTCAGGAAACTAAGCATGAGGGAGCCACAGCGCGCAGCTCCGGAAGGGGGTCTGCCCGCTGAGTTAACTCGCAGGCCCAAAGAAATGCAAAGTCTAGGCTGGCCCCAGAACTTCATAACCAGCTAACTCCTTTAACCAATCTTTATCTCTTAGTACATTAAATTCACATGGACTAAGCACTCCAATTAAAAGAATAACACTGTCAAGTTGGATTAAAATAACAAACCCTGACAACACATGCTACTTGCAGAAGTCACACTAACAAGGACACGTTGTTTCAAGCAAAAGGATGTGAAAAGAACTGTTATGCAGACACCAACTACAAAATGGCTTCAGAAGCAGATTTTAAGACAAGGAATATTTCTAGAGAAAAGGGTATTTCATGATAATGGGGTCAATTTAACAGGAAAAATCATAATAATCTTAAATGTATATTTACTTAACAATAGTGCTTCAAAGTATACAAAACAAAAACTGATGGAACTGAGAAGAGAAAAAGACAAAATTATAATCACAGATAATACAGCTTTAGACGTAGATCTCTCAGGAACTCAGAATCCAAGAGGACAAAAGCTAACAAAGATACAGAAGATGTGACTGCTACCCATGTGCGTTGACTTCATTCACAACTGTAAGAGCACCCGTTCGGCAATCGCCGCACAGCAGAACCGGCTTCCCTTCCTGCTCCTCCCCGCCGAGTCTCCCACCCCTCATCCCTTACCTTCTTTCTCTCCAGTCGCTCCTGCTCAATCTGCAACATGATCTGCTCTCTCTCCAGACGCAGGTGCTTAGCTGCCTCCTGGGCCTTGGCTTCTGCTTTCTGATAGAAACAAGCAAACCAAGGTACAGGCTTTCTTCATTTAAGACGCTGTAGTAATTCCCTTGACTTTCCAAATATTCCTTTACCTCATCACCTGCCCCAGAGTAGAGGCTACTCCAATGTTCAACATGAGTTTAAATCATTTGTCTTATGACTAAGCAGACAGTGTTTGGCTTTATTCACGTACTCTGGCTCCATCATGAAAATCACCTGCAGACAGTTTCTGTACACAGCTCAAGTAATTCTATGCCTGTGGACAGATTCTGGACATAAAGTCTGCATGAGTACAGAAGCTTCAAGGACTTAATTTCTTTTAAAAAAAAAAAAAAGATTTATTTACTTTTATTGCAAAGTCAGATAAACAGAGAGGAGGAGAGATAGATAGGAAGATCTTCCATTTAATAATTCACTCCCCAAGTGACTGCAACGGCTGGTGCTGAGCCGATTCAAAGCCAGGAGCCAGGAGCCAGGAGCCTCTTCCAAGTCTCCCACACGGGTGCAGGGTCCCAAGGCTTTGGGCCATCCTCAACTGCTTTCCCAGACCACAAGCAGGGAGCTGGTTGGGAAGTGGAGCTGGATGGGATTAGAACTGGCACCCTTATGGGATCCGGGTGCGTTCAAGGTGAGGACTTTAGCTGCTAGGCCACTGTGCTGGGCTCTTATTTATTTTTGAAAAGATTTATTTATTTATTTATTTTTTTGGAAAGGCAGATATACAGAGAGGAGGAAAGACAGAGGAAGATCTTCCGCCCGATGATTCACTCCCCAAGTGACCGCAACGACTAGAGCTGCACCAATCCAAAGCCAGGAGCCTAGAACCTGGAGCCTCTTCCAGGTCTCCCACATGGGTACAGGGTCCCAGGACACAAGCAGGGAGCTGGATAGGAATCAGGATCATCATGATTGGAAGCAGCACCCCTATGGGATTCTAGCATGTGCAAGGCGAGGACTTTAGCCACTAGGCTAACTGCTGGGCCACAGAGACAATTTTATGCCATGATCCACAACCTCCTAAGAAGGTCCCAAAGGGTTTGAGTTCTAGATGACCATAATTAATCCACTTACATTGCACTGATACTGAGGGTTTTTTCTAAGATTTATTTATTATTTTTGGAAAGTCAGATTTAAAAAGAGGAGAGACAGAGAGAAATATCTTTCGCCTGCTGGTTCACTCCCTCAGTGGCCGCAATGGCCAGGGCCAAGCCAATTCAAAATCAGGAGCCAGGAGCTTCTTCCGGGTCTCCCAGAAGGGTTCAGGGTCCCAAGGCTTTGGGTCGACTTTCACTGTTTTCCCAGGCCACAAGTATAGAGCTGGATGGGAAGCGGAGCAGCCAGGACACAAACCTGCATCCATATGGGATCCCGATGCATGCAAGGCAAGGATTTAGCCATGAGGCTATTGTGCCGGGCACTGACTGATACTTAATCTTTTTTTTTTTTTTTCTCAATCCTCCACAAGCTTTCTAGGATTTCCTCCCAAATACAGTACCGAACACAATTCCAGACCCAATGCTAGAGTCTGCCTTTACAGAAGCACAAACTAACAGATGAAAAATATTACCAACTCTACTTTGATTATAAATTGACCTATATCTAATAACAAATCAAGGATGGCAGTGCCATGGTATAGTGGATTAAAGCTGCCAACTGTCATGCAATCTTCCCATATGGGCACCACTTTCCAGGGGCCCCACTTCTGATCCAGCAGTCGAGGATGGCCCAGGGCTTTGGGCCCCAGCACCTGTATGGGAGGCCCTGAAGAGGCTCCAGCCTGGCACATTCCCAGCCATTGTGGCTTTTTGGGAGTGACCCAATGGATGGAAAATTTCTCACTCGGTCTCTCGGTCTCTCATTCTCTCTCTCAGTAACTCTGAATTTCATATATATATATTTAAACTAAAAAACTCAGATAGTTTAAGAAAAAACTTCAAATACTGAGTCATTCAAATTCAGTAACTAAGGCCCTTGAAAAACAAGAAAACAAAAAACCTCTGAGAACCCATACTGTACCTGCTTCTCACTCCCGGCTGCTTCTTGCTTTTCTTTCAAGAGCACCTCCTCCTCAGCCTTCTGCTTGGCTTCCTCTTCCTGCTGCTTGTTTTCCTCTTCCTGTCTGTGGGCTGCTTCTTCCAGGCAAAGCCTTTCCTCTTCTGCCTTTCTCTTGAGTTCCTCTCTCTCTAGCCTTTGGAGAACACAATCATTGTCAGATAACACAGAACTGCATTCTGGCAGCAGAGAGCAAATGCTGACCACGTTAATGAATAAATGCACTCCAATTTCTATCAATTTAACAACCCAGCCTTCCCAGAAATCCATTCATCTGTATAGTTATCAGCAAAATATCAATCATGCTTGACTTTTAGCTCTAATACAAAGACCAAGGACTCGCTGATTTGTGAAATACGTTCCAGTGAAGACACACATGCTCTCAACTTGATCTAGAAATAACCACAATAGGACAAGGAGTCAAGTCCATTATTCTTGTTTTAACAATAATTCTTAAAAAAATTTATCTTCAACCAAACTTGGCAAAGACAAGATGTATCACAAGCCAAAAATATTCTAGTCATCAATGAAAGGGCAGTGAACATGAACTCAAAAAATCCACTTTGGGTTCTAACTGATATATACTTCTGAAACAACAAATCAGAGAAAAAATAAAAAAGAAACTTGACATTTTTTACACAAATTAAACCCTTTATTTTCCATTTGTTTCAACAATTTTTAAAATATATCTTGGTTCTTATTCCTGCCATAAAAAAAAGGAAGTGACAACATACACATTTTCACAGATAGATGAATGGTCCCTGATGGAATGATAAAGAGAATCATGAGGAGATATCTGTAAAGTCTGAGCTGGTTTATTTTTATATTTGTAATGTGTTTCACCTTGCTTGGCAGTCACTGGCAGTGTGATGTATGGCTGACCAAACCCGCACTCTGATTGTACCAACTCACCGTGTCCCATTTAGAAAGTTACTCAACATTTCTGATGTCCATTTTTTAAAAAGTGGTAAAAGCCATATTAATACTCCTTGACATTACTCTGAAATTAAAGGAAACGATCATGGGAATGCCTGGTTCTAGAAGATTCTCAAATGCTAGCTTACCTTACAATTTAAAACAAATCTGCCCTCAAACCTCCAATGTCCTTAAATAAAAATATAACATATTTGGAAATTACCATTATGTGTCACTGACATTGTGATGTTGCTTTATTGATATAAACAGATCAAGACTTAAAAATAACATCATCCTTCCATGCTAATGGTCAGCTTCAGGAATCATGAAGACTAACAGCCTACGCAGCATCAGAGAAATAAAGGCAATCACTGTAAATGATAATACATCCTATGTTAACAGAGGTCACAGACCTGCCAGCACCATGAAACAACTGAAAATCCTAACCAACTCTGAAGAAGAATTTTATTAAACCCAATCTGAAGGACACATCCAACACAGGCTTATAAAAATGGTTGTGATAAGATTTACCCCAAAATTAATCTGAGCACCATTCTAGTTATTTTTTAAATGCTCTGTGATTATTGTAGAGAAAATAATATACAAAGGATATACTATGTATGAATTAATACATAAGCTACTTCACAAAGGACTTGTTATCTTCAGCCTCCAAATATGAAAATCCAGTTCCTTTTATTTTGCCTTCAGGATTTCTGACACACCCCAAATTCCTCCCCACGAACCCTCAGTTTCTGCTTGTTCTTGCCATGGAAATCTTGTCCTCTTACAAACTACTTTCCCTTACCCACACTTGGTTTCCCAAAACTTAAGCAAAAACTGGCTTTTTTCATGTGAAACTAAATCCATCCCAAGCCTCTCCCAGGATGAACATTCTTTCTCCAGCTGCTGAAGAAATCAGAGAGAGCATTACTTCATCATTCTCCATCAGTCCTCCGTTAGAGGCCACCAGCCCCGCCCTGCTATCATTACTACGTTTCCTTCAGAGTACAACAGACCTGTGTGCAATTTTGTGATTCTCTCCACGATGCAGAAGCGGAGTGTATGTATCCAGGCACTTAAGATGCTAATGAGGGGAAACTGACCTGTAAACCAATGACGATCTGGAATCTAGACTAGTGTTATCCAATAGAACTTTCTATGATGAGAACAGTGTTCTGTAGATTTGTACCATTCAATACTGCAGTTACTAGCCATATATGGCAACTGAGCATTGGAATACAGCTAATATGTTGGAGGAACTGAATATTACAGGTTTCCTTAATTTAATTTTGCTAGCCGTACGTGGTGCGGCAGTGGATAGCACAGCTTCAAACAGAGCACAGGCACCGAGTCCAGGAAATGCCCAGCAGTACACCAAGTTATTTATGGCCTCCCATTTCCTAGAAAGCTTACAAGGTTTGCAGAGCAAGCTGTAATTACTTTTTAAAATAGATGATAATGGGAAGCAAAGGGGGAACTAAGGTAGAAAGGGATATGGAAAAACTTGGTTTAGCACACCCAAGGATTAACAGTAAACTGTTGCATCAGAAGTGAGCCTAAGGAAACGAAGCCCAGCAAGGACACAGGCAGAACAAGAAGGAAGAGCACTGTTGCCCGGCAACCTTCCAAGGGATGAATGAGTAGAGGAGGAGGAAAAAGGCTAGCAGAACATGGCAAGCGCCACAGGATCAAGGCCAAGCAAGACATTTTGTACGAGTTCAGTATGCAGTAGAAATATCAGGTCAAGGAAGACTGCGAAGTGAGGAAATAAAGCCAGGAAGTACAATTAATTCAGGAGCTGGCTGTGGAGGAAATGTAGCAGCTGGAAGGCAAATACAGCAATAATCAAGTTGCTCACCTGCTTAGAACCTGTACAACATCTCCAAAATCTGAAATGACCAAGGCCTGTCATTTGAGGTCCTCTGATTAAACTTCATCTCCAATGGCCTCCCTTATAGCCCACCCAAACCAGTCACAATATATTGTTCGACTAAATAAAAATCTGCCAATATTCACCAAAAGCCTGGAGGTGGGGAAATAATCAGATTAAGTCCATAATTTGAAGAAGGGCTCAGTCTTTTAAAAAATGCATCAGCAAATCTATACTCAGAGACCACAAAGGCTTGCCCAGGTTACTAAAGGAGCAAGCATTTTTCCCATTAGATGTTATTCTAAATTAGTGCTAGCTTTGAAATGCTACTGTATCATTTATTTCCTACCACACTGATGATCCAAATAGTACTGTGTCAATATTCTAGGATTATCCTAAGAGTTTCCTTTAACAATTTAATGATAAAGTCTACTTTGCCTATTAATATGTGCTTCTCTAAATACAGAGATAAGAAAAGGCATGCCTATCTGTATTGTGCCAATGTGTCCTTGTACTAACACTGCTGTGGTTCTCAAACACTGACAAGCTCCTGAATGAGGACAGGGTTTGGACCTGTGCATTTTCACGTTGATCTGTGGGATGACTGTTATACCCTCCGAAGCTTAGAGAGAACTGCAATAGCTTTTTTCTTGCTCCAGGATAGGGCCCCCTGGCTCTCTGTTCATGGTCTATGAGGTTGATACTGCGTCCCCATGCATTTTGACTCTGGAATATAAATTAGGATAATTTGGGGAGAAAATAATTTGAGAAGTAGAATCAATACCTTGATTTGAGAGTGTCCTGTCTTCTATGAGAAGATTTTACTCCATAAATAAAGCTCAAAATCTCTGAAGACTCTTATGAAACCAGTTAGTTTCAAAGTCCAACATTCAGAACAAAGAGCTATCAGTTTCCAGGTTCTCCAGAAATAGTAAAGTTCTATTGCGGATAATTACATTTAAGAGAAGAGCAGATTTCTAACCACCTTCCAGGTACAGCAGAGTTTTAGGTTCATATATTTCTGCTTTGGCTTTAGCAATACCAAACCACAAGAAGAAAAGACAAGTTGCTCTTTCCAACACAGCCTTTACACAAGATCAGGACAAAACTTCAGTCTCCACGCACCTGTCTTGTTCTTCTTTCTCCAGTCGTTCTTGTTCCTCCTGTTCTTTCTGCAGCCGGGCCTGTCGCCGCTTTTCAGCCAGGATTTTGGCAGCTTCTTCTGCATCAGTGGTGCCTGCCGTGGGCTTCCCTAAGCCTGTGTCAGAGAAGAGGTATCAAAAGCAAATGAACAAGGAAAATGAAGCTAATGAGCCCATGCACACAGCCATGGCACACAAAAATTGCAACTCATTGTGATGAAGGTAACACTGTTAAGATCAGAACATCAGTCAGCAAGCAGAAGGGGCAATAGCCTGTTTGTAAGTCTGGACGGATTTCACAGGAGAGGGTATTGGAACAGGAGAGATAAGGCCACTGGCACATGCCACAGCAAGCATGCTGAGTGAACTCACTGCACCACAGAAGCATCACACAAGTGTGCATTAAGGACTAAAGAAGGCCCTCTCTTGCAGGAAGTGCAAATGATGGCTAGATGAGCTTGTCTCACTTAGCACTCCTATGAGCTTTTACCATCTGTGGCTGAGTCAGCTCTTAGGTCTCCTCCAAGGGAGTCACAGGAGATTGAGGGGAAGGATTCAGGTGCAACAGGCAAGGAAAGAACAATGAGATGGTGAAGTGCCCCAGGGAGAACTCCCTTTCTGTCCCTCAAACCTGAAAAATGGCTTCTGAACTAGGTGAGAGGGAGAACCGTTCTCCCATCTTTGGAAGTCTAGGCCAGTGGTAGCTTTGACAAAGGCCTACCTGAGCTAACTTCGGCCTTTCCTCCTGCATGCTTATCCACTACTACGTGCTTCTCATTGGCATGTTTCTCAGTCAGCTGCTTCTCGCTGGCACGCTTATCAACCACATGCTTCTCGCTGGCATGATTGTCTGCCACATGTTTCTCGGAGGCTTCTTCCACGTGCAGGGCAGCCATCTCCTGAGCCAAAGCATCTTCCCTGTCCTTGTTGCTCCTCTCTTTTTCTGCTTTCTTCTTCAGCACTTCCTGACTGGGAGGGATGGGAGAGCGGTGTCTCACTGGAGACCCTATGTATGCAGGCTTCATCGACTTTGGAGATTGTGGATATGCTTTTGAAGTCCTGGAAAACCAAAGAACATGGTGTAAGATGATTACCAGGTCTAACCACAGATTTCTTGGTTCTTAAGACACATAGTTCTGGGCCTGTCACAGAGACAGAAAGAGATCAATGCTTAGTTCTGGGCCAATCCAAAGCCAGGGACTAGGAGCTTCTTCCAAGTCTCCCTCAAGCATTTGGGTCATCCTGCACACTTTTTCCCAGGACATGAGCAGGGAGCTGGATTGGAAGCAGAATAGCTGGGACATAAATCAACACTGATATGGGGATGCTAGTATTGTAGAAGGTGGTGCAATCCATTACACTACAACACCAACCCAATTTAACCATTTTTGAATGAACCTCAACGACAATAGGCACATTCACAGTGTTGTATAACCACCACCATGCATCTCCATGAGACAGAAAGTCCTCATTGCCCCTACTTTAGGTCTCTATGAAACTGCCTATCCCAGGTACTTCTTATAAGTATTTAAAAAGTATTTGTCCTTTAATGGGTGCCGGTTCTAATCCCGGCAGCCCTGCTTCCCATCCAGCTCCCTGCTGTGGCCTGGGAAAGCAGTCGAGGATAACCCAAAACCTTGGGACCCTGCACCCGTGTGGGAGACCTGGAGGAAGCTCCTGGCTCCTGGCTTCGGATCAGGTTGGCTCTGGCTGTTCCAGCCGCTTGGTGAGTAAACCAGCAGGTGGAAGAACTTTCTCTCTGTTTCTCCTCCTCTCTGTATATCTGACTTTGCAATAAAAATCAATCTTTAAAAAAAAGACCTTAAAAAAGTATTTGTCTTTTTAGCATTATGGTTATTCCATGATGTGTTGAGGGTTCCCAGTCTGAGCAGCTCACTAGCAGGAGGTCACAGAGCACGCTGAACTCACAGCTTCAGTCACCATGTCAGGAGCCTGATGGTGCTGGTAGGTCTATTTAAGGTGAGGGTACTTCAACTGGATACACAAACATGGAATTAAAATTTAAGTTTATTTTGGTACAAAATACATGTTAAATTCATGCCAATCTTCTCAAAAAGTGAATCTTCTGTCAACTTTTTGAAGATCCATATAGATGGAAATGTCAGGACTACAGCTTGAGTGAGAGGCGGTCAGATTGACCTGGTTAGATTTGGTGCTAACAGCCTCCAATCAGCATGGCTCTAAACAGCTATGCTTTCACTGGCTTTAATACAACGCTCAGGTGCAGGTTCCGTCCCACTTGACTGCGAAATTCTATTCTAAATAAAACTAGGTCAATTACTCATGAGCACGTATTAAAAATAACATCTACCTGAGAAGTACTGATGAATTATTCCAGATAAAGACTCATTAAGCAGTGTTTACACTCCCTTACTCTGCACTAGTTAAGTTAGAATCACTCTCACATTACAATATACGAGGGATCTTCAAAAAGCTCATGCAAAAATATATTATGGAGGGCCCGGCACGGTGGCGCAGTGGTTAAGGTCCTCGCCTTGCACGCCCGGGATCCCATATGGGTGCCGGTTCTAACCCGGCAGCCCCGCTTCCCTTCCAGTTCCCTGCTTGTGGCCCAGGGAAAGCAGTCGAGGACGGCCCAAGGCTTTGGGACCCTGCACCCGCGTGGGAGACCCGGAAGAGGCTCCTGGCTTCGGATCGGCATAGCCTCGGATCGGCATAGCCTCGGCTGTTGCGCTCACTTGGGGAGTGAATCATCAGACGGAAGATCTTCCTCTCTGTCTCTCCTCTCTGTATATCCGCCTTTCCAATAATAATAATAATAAAAATAATAAAAAAAAATATATATAAATATATATATATATATTTTAAAAAGATTTATATATATAATGGAAAAGCTACAATAGAGTTTAAATTTTTGTACCAAAATAAATCCACCTATCAACTTTGTGAAGTCCTTTTATACAAATCTGACCTTCAAATCAGAGTAGATTATAGTTATAGATTCTTCTCTGACAGTGAGTGACCAAAAATAGAATAACATCTTCAAAGTTCTCAATTTCAGCTACCTATCCACAGCTCCCTGTTCACCCTGCTTGCCACTGGCTTACTCGGACTCAGCACTGCTCCAGCTTCCTTGTAGGAGCAGTTGGGCACGGGCATCTTGAACAAGGCAATAGAGGTCTGGCAGGCCCCAGGGCTCCACTATGAGCCAGATGAAGTCTGCTAAACTATTTTTAGTTTGCTGGAAATAAATAGCATTGCTAACGAAAGACATCAAACAAACTAATCAGGGAAATCAATGTGCTTTTTAGGGAGTTTTCAGTACCTTCTCGTCTAGTTTACTGCCGCAATAATCCAGTAAGGTAGCCAAGAAATCGCTGTTAACCAACAAGCACAGTTCTAGGTGCTTAAATGACTTTTCCCTAAGAGATGCAAATAGACAAGAGTGTCAGAACTGGCACTCAACCCCTTTGCTCTTTGCCTTGTTCGTTTCTTTCTTTCTTTCTTTCTTTGCTTTTCCATTTTAAGTTTTCCATGTTCAATTAAATTATGACAAAAGGGATTTTCAAAGGGTTGTTTGGGAGTGGTAGAACTCGGCCTTCCAAGGACAGGAAGGATTTTATAACCTTTTAAGTTTCCATGACTGGAAGAAATTACAAACACCCCTGTCAATAGAATAGCAAGTATAACTCCTAGGAAAAGGCTGTCATGCTTTGGAACCCATGAAGTAAGTTGTCACCGCTGCAGCTGCTCACCTGTAGGAGGCCAGAGCCGCAAGGTGGATGTATTAGAGAGGCTCATGAGAATGATATGCATTTACAAGTGACTAGTGTCCTGAGCCACAGAAGCAAGAGACTGCATCTGGGAAATGTCCACGGGCCTGTGGACAGTAGTATGAGGTGACTATTTTGAGCAATCCAGACAACTTTATCCTAATTTTTCCCCTTAAATGGAATTAAGAAACAAAACAGATTTGTTTCTTAATACAAGATAAAATAAAATTAAACGTAGTTCCGGATACAAAATTTATCTCAACCATGAACACTGCCCATAGATGATTATCTTTGGCATGCTGCATTCTCCAAATCTAAATGGAATTATACTACTGACCTTCTGCAACTTACTTTTTGTACTCAGCACTACTTTCCTGAGATCCACCTGTATAGTTTGTGGGAAATCCATTCTTTGTCACTCCCAGAGAGTTTGAAGTTGGGGTTCCACCTTTCTCATTTTGGTCCACACCCAGTGTGGTTCAGACACTCATTTTCATTCAGACAGACATTTTCTTTCTTTCTGGACATTTTAAAATAAAAAAGTATTTGCTTCTCCTTAAGACATCTCAACTCAGCAATACTAATTGAGAGGTCCCATAGCAACTTCTATCCCTAATTTTTGCTTGTTTTCATGGTATACAAAGAAGCCAGCTGTGTCAATGACTATTTTTCCTGCCTGTATCAGAGATGACGTGCTGTGAAAATAAAGGCCATTCCATTAACATCTCTTTGCTGAAGTGAAGTGGTAAGAAAACCCTGCAGCCAGAAGCCTTTATTCTTTAAAAATCCTCTAAGTGAGGGCCAGCACAATGGTGCTGGTATAGTAGGCTAATCCTCAGCCTGTGGCACTGGCATACTGTGTGGGTGCTGGTTTTAGTTCTGGCTGCTTCTGATCCAGCTCCCTGCTGATGGCCTGCATTGAGTGGAGGATGGCTTGATTCTTTGGGTTCCTGCACCCATGTGAGAGACCTGGAAGAAGCTCCTGGCTCCTGGCTTTGGACCAGCCCAGTTCTGACTGTTATGGCCATTTAACAAGTGAACCAGCAAGTGAATCTCTTTCTCTCTGTAACTCTTTCAAGTAAAATAAATCTTTTTTAAAGTCCCTAAGTGAAATACTAACCCCTGAAACAAGATTGCTTAAAGACTTGATGAGCTTGAGAATAAGCTGATTTTGGGCCCCAGGTTGGGCCCCACTTTACTCTGACAGCTGATCTCATTCCCACCCCTTGGGTCTAGGTTCTCTTTCCTTTTTGTTTTGGTCCACAGACACTGCCTTTTTGTGGAAGTTTGTGTCCTGTAAAGCTCTTGTATGAGAACCTAATGTCTACAGTGTTGTTACAAGGAGGTTGAGCCCCTGGGAACTGATTTAACCAGGGAGCACAACAGCACTGTATGGATGCAGTTGGTGTCCTTATAAAGGAGACTCCAGGGGGCTCTCCTGGTCTTTCTCCAAAAAAGGAGACACCAAGATGCATTTATGCCCTAAGGAACAGGCCTTCACAAGACACCAGATCTGCACTTTAATTTAATCTGTACCTTAACTTTGGATTTTCTAGCTCCTGAAACTACGGGCAATAATACCTTTCTGTTGTTTAGAAGGCACCGTACTCTGGCATGTTGCTGTAGTAGCCTGAATGAAGTGAGACAGATACATAGTGAGCACCTACTGTGCAGTGAGACATCAAGATAGGCCTGATCCCCAAGGCAATTTAGCAGGACCACTACACGAATGTGAAGAGCTAACACTCGTAAGCAGGATCAGGCATAAGGAAAAAGAGAGCCAGGTTTCTTTTCAACTGGTCCATTGTTCCTTGGAACACATGTAACTTGATTTTATTTGAAGGAAGAGTTACAGAGAAGGAGAGAGGCAGAGAGACAGGTCTTGTGTCTCCTGCTTCACTCCCTAAATGGTTGCAATGGCCAATCCTGGGCGAGGCCCGTGACAAGAGCCTAGAATTTCATCCAGGTCTCCTACATGGATAGCAGGGACCCAAGCACTCAGGCCATCTTCTACTGCCTTCCCAAGTGCATTCACAGAAAACTAGATTGAAGACTGAGCAGCTGGGACTCGACCGGTGTTCAGTGGGATGCTGGTGTCTCAGGTGGTGTCCGAACCCAGCTCTGCCATAATGCCAGTACCAATAACATACTTCAACAAAATTCACTTTACCATCTCTACTTCAGTCTCTCTCAACTGTAATCTGTTACTCCATTGGAGAAAAGCAATCAAGGCAAGTCAGCTTCTGGCAGGGGCAAAATGATTAGTCCTATAAAATATCAAATAGTTCTAGAAACACAATTTTCCTCAAGATTTTCAACTTTATGTTCTCATCTCTGTTGAGGGCAATAAGACCATGGTTTGAGTCAGTGAAATTTACAATAATGATGATGACATCTGCAAGCTACTATTTGCTCAGGTATCATGAATCATTTTCCAGAAAAAGAGAGAATAGAAAAGGCCCCAGAATAAATGAGACTTTCCCTTCTATTAATGTAAAGGTCCCAGATTAACATCAGAATAGAGACCTGTGTCTAGAAGTTGAAAGGGCTCAGAAATAAAACAATGAGAAATAAAGATTTTAGAGCCAATAACACAAACTTAAACTGTGAGCAAGAGAGCAATACCATAAGCAAAGACAGGCAATACTAGCTCAAAAAAAGAAAATGCTCAAAAGCTAAATAAAAAAAAAAAAACATGCTGTGCAATGGAAGTGTTTTCCTTATGGGACACAGATAGATCAATAACAGGTATCTGTACTCTGCATCCCAGAGTGGGGAGCCTGGGGTTAGGTCATGGCTTCGTTCCTAATCACAGCTGCACCTTGGAAGACAGTAGATGACGCTGAACTGGCTGGGTCCCTGTCACCCACTTGGGAGACTAAGGTTGAGTTCCAGGCTCCCTACTTCCACTTGCCCCAGTCCTGGTGACATGCAAATGAACCAATGGATGAAATACATACCCCCTACCTTCCCTGCACTCTTTTTCTTTAAAGATTTATTTATTTGTTTTTATTGCAAAGTCAGATACACAGAGAGGAGGAGAGACAGAGAGGAAGATCTTCCATCCAATGGTTCACTCCCCAAGTGGCCACGATGGCTGGTGCTGCGCTGATCTGAAGCCAGGAGCCAGGAGCCTCTTCTGGGTCTCCCATGCAGGTGCAGGGTTCCTAGGCTTTGTGCCATCCTTGACTGCCTTCCCAGGCCACCAGCAAGGAGCTGGATGGGAAATGGAGCTGCCGAGATTAGAACCAGCTCCCATATGAGATCACAGTGCGTTCAAGGCAAGGACCTTAACCATTATGCTATCTTGCCAGACCCCTTCCTGCACTCTTCCACTACTTTCCTCTACTTTACTATTTCTCTCCCTCCCATTCTCTTCCTTTTAAATAAATTAAAAAAAATGTAAAAATAAATGCAAAAGAAAAGCCAACAAAAATCATAGTGCTGCTCAAGATTCACAAGTTACTATTGCCTCTGTCTTAGAGAGAAACAAGCTGGAGGAGTAGTGTGAGCAGGTGTCCAAGCACAATGCAGTCAATTGAACCAGGTGTAATCTTAAGAAGGAAAGTGCCAGAAAAACAGAACGAAATTCATCAATGTCAAGATAAAATGCTAAGTACATCATCTTGGTAAAGAAGGTCCTACATTCACCAGGTGATAACCCCCTCTGTAACTCACCTTACCCAGAAGGTACAGAGTCAAGGGATGTGGCTCATAGACCAGAATTGCTCCTGCTCACCGCTTCCACCTGGCCATGCCTCCTGAGGGAGCAGGAGCCACAATGCTGGCAGACACAAGCCCCACCAAACTTACTCTCCATCATTAGCCTGTACGGCAAAGATGCTCACTTGGATTTTACAGGAGAAGACGGCCTCTCAGACATGCCTTTGGAAAAATCGTATCTTCTCAGAGGGGACCCAAGGCCACCAGAAGGAACAGAAGTTGTCACTCGTAGCCCTTTCTTCACCTTATCCATCTGTAGGGGACAAAGAACAAGACAGTCATGGCCCATGACTGGTAGTACCTTGACAATGTATTAAAAGCACCCCAAATGGAAATGATGCTTTGCTTTCTTTCACAGGCATCATGTGGACTTAACAGCACTTCACACACAGGGATCTCTGCAGAGAGGCGCCATGTGGTCATCACATTAGATTTTTTTAGTTAAACAAATTCTCAAAGCCTCAGAATGAAAAGACTTTCTTCTCTGTATTGCCTTTCAAAAAGTTAACAACAGAACCACACTGTGGTCCAAGACATACGGGAACTAAAAAGAATACAAACATACAATCCCTATCATGGAAATTGTAGATGGGTGAATATGTAATTATAACATACAAGGCAATCCATGAGCTGTGGTCCCTGAAAGAAACACATGATATAATGAGCACTAAAAGTCCACCTGCTCCCGTCTTTCCCACTGCCTCTATCAGCACAGGGCAGAAGTTAATGCCTGGTCTCAGAAGGTACTCTACATGGTTAGTTTCTTTTGCCTTCTATTACATTTTCAGGCAGTGAACCCTCAATTGAGGGGGCTGGTAGTGTAGCAGAGCAGGCTAAGGTGCAGTCTATAAGCACTGGCTTCCAATAAGGAAGATGGTTGAATCCCAGCAGCTCCAAATCCATCCCAGCTCCCTGCTAATGTGACTGAGGAAGCAAACGATGTCCCAAGTGCTTGGGCTCCTGCATCCACGTAGGGTGGCCCATCCCTGGCCATCATGGCCTTTTAGAGAGTAAACACAGGAGGAAGATCTGTGGCTCTCTTCTCTCTAACTATGCCTGTCAAATAAATGAATAGGCCCGGCACGGTGGCGCAAGTGGTTAAGGTCCTCGCCTTGCACGCCCGGGATCCCATATGGGCGCCAGTTCTATCCCAGCAGCCCTGCTTCTCATCCAGCTCCCTGCCTGTGACCCGGGAAAGCAGTCGAGGACAGCCCAAAGCTTTGGGACCCTGCACCCGCGTGGGAGACCCGGAGGAAGTTCCTGGATCCTGGCTTCGGATCGGCATAGCATCGGCTGTTGCGCTCACTTGGGGAGTGAATCATCGGACGGAAGATCTTCCTCTCTGTCTCTCCTCTCTGTATACCCGCCTTTCCAATAGATAAATAATAAAAATAAATCTTAAAAAAAATAAACGAATCTTTAAAAAACCCACCAAAACCCTCATTTCACCCCGCCTCCATAGTCCCCATCCATAGCTTTCTATCCTATAGTGAAATTCACAGAACTACAGGCTCATAATGAAAAAAAAAAAAAAACATGGCATTATAAAATGTTCAATGGATTAGTAATGCAGTGGTTTTAAAACAAGTCCATATGCTATTTAGGACTTCTCCCTTGAACAGTTTAATTCCCCCTCAGATCAAGTGTAGATTGATCTTAGTGACTTGTTTTAACAGCATATAGCAATTGGGTGCCCCTCCAAAACAGCATTATCACTTTTCCAACATGTTAATTTCTTGAACAACTTGCTTTGGGGAAAGCCAGTGGCCAAGTCATTTGGACACTCAAGAAGCTTTATGAAGACTAACTGAAGCCTCCAGCCAATGCCAATTTAAGTGAGCATCTCTGAGGAGCCCCTGCCAACTTTCAGATGCTGGATGCAGCCCCTGTGATTTTCCCTGTCTGGGGTTTGAGTCCAGCCATATACTTGAGGAGGAGGCCACCAAGAAACCTCACCTGGGTTGACCTCAGACTTGATTCTTGTGAGTCAGCCAATGCAGGGTCAGGTTTGGTCCATCATCTGCACCAGCTGATGCACATGCCAGTGGATACAGCTGCCTGGTCAGTACCACCCCCAATCCTATCTGTCAGGCAAAATGATGGGTGCTGCTGCCTAGCCCAGCCCAGCCTGGCACAAGCCCAGTCCTCACGCACAACAGACGGTGCTACAGCCTAGCTGGAGTGAATCCCAGCAACTGCCACCAAGTATGCCCTTACCACTGGATTTTGTGTGTGCTGGCATGTGTTGTAGCCTGACTCAGTCCATCCCACATCTTATCTGGCTCTCACGCACGCCTATGGGTGACCTTCCCCCTCCCTAGTCCATACACATGCCGAGGGGTGCTGCTGCCTTGCCCAGCCTGGTCTAGTACCAGCCCTGGTTCTTGTGCTTACCAGAAAGAGCTGCAGCGTAGCAGAGGAGTACCCACAGTTTCTCTATCAGTCTCACTCCCAGCCCCAAATCTTGGGCTTGCCAGGGGGTACTTTAGTCCAGCCTAACATGACTTGTACTCAGTCCTGACACTTGCCAGTGGGTACTACATCCTAACATGGCTGGCCTGCACCCACTCTGGCTTTTATGTGCACCAGAAGGCACGGAAGCCTAGCCCAGACTGCTCCCCGCCCCAGTCCCAGCTCCAGTCCCAGCTCTCAAGCTTACTACCAAGGGAAGCAGAGGCCTAGTAAGAGTTCTTGAAGTTTCCCTACCAGGTCTGCTTGAAGTACTGGGTCCTGCATGTGCCAAAGGATGCTGCAGCCCAGCCTGACATGGTCTACTCACAGCCCTCATTCTTAAAACTAATTATGGGAGCTGCAGCCTAGCAGGTGAATCCCCAAAGTTCCCCAACCAGGCCCATTCTCAGTCCTGGATCTTGTGTGTGCTGCTGGGTGGTTCAATCCAGCCTGGCATGGTCCACCCACAGTCTCAGCTCTAGCTGGTAGGTGTTGTAGCTTAGCCTAGTTGGGCATAGCCCACACCCTGTCCTGGCTCTGATGCATGCCAGTGGGTGTTGTTCCCTGCTCCAGTCCAGCCTGCCCCCAGACCTGCACCACACAAATGCTGATGAGTGCAGCAGCCCTGTCTGGTCTGCCCTGCCCACAGCCTCAGTTATTGTGCTCCCCAGTGGGAGCTGCAGCCTAGCAGGTGAGTTTCCAAATTTCTTCTACCAGAGCCAGGATCTCATGCATGCCAGTGGGTGCCATGGCCCTGCTTGGCATGATCTGCATTCAGGCCTGGCTTCTGCATGTGCCAGTAGGTGCTGCAGCCTGGCCCTGCCTGGCCTCCTCCCAACCCTGGCTCTGCTGAGTGTCAGGTAGGTTCCTGTCAGGTGAGTTCTGTGGTCCAGCCTGGTTCAGTCCATCACCACCACAATTCTGTGCAAGCTGGGTGCTGCAGGCCCACAGCCTCCAGATCTGGTTCTGTTACATTCCTGTAGGTACTTCAGTCCAGCCTGATGTGGCCCACCTCAACACTCAGGTGGGTACTGTGGCTTGGCCCAGCCAGGAATGTCCTCTAGCCCCAGCTTTTGTGTGTGCCAATAGGTAGCGGACAATGCTATTTAGTCCAGCCCAGGTCTCTCACATGGGCAGGTGCCTTGGCCTGATCCTGACATACCCTCTGGTTTCCCTTCATCTAAACCACTCCATCTCAGCTCCCCTGTCTATCTGGCCAGGTCCATGAAAGCCCCAGAAGTCATTTGTTCTCTGTCAAACATGATATCAGCCTCTCTGACTCAATACATCCTCAGAACCACCTCCCCAGGCAACCTGCAATTCTCACTCACACTATCTGCGGGGCAGGGCAATGTGTCTTGGCCTAGCATTCCCAGCCTTCCTCACATACCTTGAAAAACAAAATGAATAGACAGCTATGCTGGCACACCAGTATAGTTAACAGAGTTTGGTCATTAACCAGTGCCAGAATGCCTGCCAGCTGCTGGCTGCCTTTTCTCCCAGCAGTATAACACTTGCCTAGGTACAAGGCAACCTAAGGCAGCTGCCTAGAGCTGGGAGTTGTGGTAATTTATTCTGTAACAATTGATAACAAAAGTAGTTATTCCATATATAATTTCTATGTTTACATAATTGGAAGTGTTTGTTTAACATCTGTTTAGGCTAACAGTGCCATTATGTCACCAAAACTTTTTTTAAAACCTTATTTATTTGAAATATAGAGTAACACAAAGATTTTCCATCTGTTGATTCACTCCCCATATAAACCAAAGCCCAGAGGAGGTGAGGTGGTTTAACGTACCGAGGAGGCCTCTGCTCCTGTGGGGGCTCCTTTCTCAGCATCTCCAATGCCAGATGTAGGTACAGCCTTCTTCTCGATTGTTCGAGTGGGAGAATATTTGTAAGAAGACTTTAAAAGGCCAGAAGAAGCTAAACGAGGACAGACAGAGAATACTAGACAGTTACAGTAAAGCAGCCAGAAAGACAGGGAGTGTTGATGGGAAAAGTAAGGAGAGTTGGGAAGAATATCACAACTTTATTAATAGGCGACATGGGTAATCTCCATTCTCAAAATTTCACATTTGCTCCACATTTTTTTTTCTATTGCATATGATAGAAATAAATCTTACCCTAAAAAAGGCTGTCAGAATCAAGTCAAGTTCATTGCAAGGATTAAAAGTTTGTGCTTCAGAGTCAGACACCCTAGGACTGTCACATCATGGCTGGATTACCTTGAACAGATCATTCAACCTTTCTGAATCTCAATTGTCTTTGCAGGAAAAGACTTAACAAGGCAGGCCTGAGTACTCTCTGACAAGGTCTGTTTACAGGTTGGCCCTTGACTGGCACCTAGGAACTTTTATTTTGAGAGGATTTCTACTATTAACTGGTGAGTGCCTAAAACTGTTACTGTAAATAAATGGTTTATGCTGAATACGTGGGTCCTTTCTGGGAGTTGGAATTTAGACATGTACCTGAGTGCAGAGCCCACATGGCTGGTCCCCAGAAAAAACTATGGGCACTTTGTCTTCAATGAGCTTCCAAAGTTGATGAGATTTCATACATGTCATGGTTCATTGCTGGGGAATTGGATGTGTCCTGTGTTCTCTTCTAAGAGAGGCCTCTGGGAATCTTGCACCTGATTTCCTCAGATCTTTGCTTCACACGCCTTTTCCCTCTGCTGAATTTGCTGTTTAGCCTGAATGTGACTATGTGGAATTGTCTGAGTACTCCTAGTAAACTATCAAACCTTGGGGTGAGGGGTCTTGGGGATCCCTAACCCAAATGATGTCAGAAAAGCGAATCACTAGAAATGTCTCCAAATCACAGAGACACAGTATGGGCATTGTTTGGGAAAAGACAGAATAAAGAGGTGGAAGACAACTAACCTCTGGTGGCTGCAGTCATCTGCGGTATAAGATGGCAGCCAAACAGCTGTCTGCTTTGAGAGGTCAAAGTTACCTATGTAATTTAGAATATCTGATAAAACTCCAAGAGACTTGGCTCCATGGATACCCTGGTTGATACTATGTTAGCTAAACAGAGGGGAAAAGTCCTGTCGAGGTAATACCTTTGGTTTTTGTTTTGTCTTCTAAGAAGTAGAAGGACACTTTTCTGTTTTGGCTTGTTGTCGCTGTTGTTATCTGTTTCTGTCATCAGAGAGTAAGCTGGAAGTTAAACTCTGAGGATTGCAACCTAAGTGTTTATAACATAATTTTTTGCTATGACTGTGGCCTAATGGAACCCGTGGGAAAAGGAAGATATAAAAAGAGAGGCAATTTCCAGACAGAGATATATTTTGAATTCTAAACCTCAACTTGAGACCATTGCATATTTAGAACATCCCTCAATGGGTCCATTAACTGTGAAAACATCCCCGATGCTGCTGGACTATCTGGATCACTTGTAAGGGCCACAGGACAGGGCTCGTCCTCTGATGGGATATTCTGTGCTTGACTTTCCAGAGTAGCTGTAGTTTGTAACAATGGATTATGAACCCAATTCTATTTCTGTTACCTTTATTCTACTTCTGTTACCTCTCTTCTGATACACACACCTCTATAAGGTGATCTGTTAAGTGCAGCTGTCCCCAGAAAGTGACACCTTTTCCAGACTGCTCACTGGGTAAATTATCAGGTTGAAAGGGGATGGAAGATAATTCAAACCTATTTTTAAACAGTCTGAAACTTAAAGATTTTGTTCTGATTCCTCAATATGATCTGTCTTTTTGGTTAAATTGAATAAAAAAAAGGGTTCTTCCCATAAAAATATTTTCCCTTTCTTTCAAGTTCTGGGTAAGAACAGGGGATGGCTGAGAAAATGTGGTATTTTCATAACAAATGAAACAGATAGAAACAACAAAACTCAGAGGGCAAGAACATGTGTGGTCTTTATCTTTCAGAGCTGTTTTGCAAAGCTTTTCCCTCTTCCTCAAAGAAAGCTTGCCGTACTGCCTTTGTAAGCCACTGCAAGCAAGCACTTTAGATTCAGCCTGATCATTTGTGCCAACTTGGGGGCTTTCTGATCAATATAAATACACGTAAGGGTACTCTCATATCATCAACTCTGTGTTTAGGGATCATATGTAATATGTTCCTTTGGAAACTGTACTTACTGTGTGTGTGCCTCATCACGACACCTTCTCAACTATGGCAGGTGTTCAGATCCAGCTTAAACTTACTGGCCAGAGTTGTGGTTGGCCTTAATTGATGTCTTGGACCATGTTTTTTCTGTTTGTTTGCTTTAAGATTCACACAAGAACTGAAAAATGGAAGACATCTTGTTGCCTAAAGGCAGACCTTTTGGTTAATGGTATTTGCTTTCATGCTGAGTCCAGAGCTCATTAAGTACAGAAATGAGATCAGTCCCAGAGTTCAGTCTCACTATTTACTAAACAGAGCTTAAGTCTTTTTTTTGTAAAGACATCTTGGCCAAGGGACTAGAAGTGGACTGCACAGAAAAGAGTTAACACAGCAAATCTAACTGATATCCTCACAAGACTCTTAGATTTAGGGAGGTTCCCAAAGGTAACGGAGAGTGATTCACTGTGCTTAAACTGTTTGCACAAACAATATGTTATACTGAACACTTGCTTTCTTTGTGGGAGTTTGGAACATATGTGCTATTCAAGGGATGCACGTGGCCAACCCCAGGAAAAAGCCTGGGCACTAAGTTTCTAATAAGTTTCTGTGGTTGGCAAAGTTTCACACATGTCACAACTCATTGCTGGAGAAAATGCACCTTGAGGGATTCCCCTGGAGAGGATTCTGAAAGATTACAGCTGGCCTTCCCTGGACCTAGCCTCTTACATTTGCCCTGTCTGTTGCTTTTTCTCTGCACTCTCATTTTCACAGATGAATGCAACTAGATACTGAGTCCCGTGAGTCCACGCAGCAAATAATCCTAGGGTTGGTCTTAAGGCACATGATAAATTCTTCAGTCTCAAAATGGAGAGAGCTCCTATATATTATGTTAAAATTTTTTTTAGGTATATACTATTTTCTGTTCTTTTGTGACTGGCTTCCTTCACTTAGCATAATGTTTCTTTCAAGATTTATCTATGATGAAGCATGTATTGGTATTTCATTTCTTTTTTTAAAAACAAAAGTTGTTATTATTGGAAATGCAGATTTGCAGAGAGAAGGAGAGATGGAGAGAGAAAGATTTTCCATCTGATGGTTTACTCCTCAAATGGCCACAATGGCCAATGTTGAGTCGATCCAAAGCTGGGAGCCAGGAGCTTCTTCCAGGTGTCCCACACAGCTGTAGGGTTCCAAGTCTTTGGGCTGTCCTCCACTGCTTTCTCAGGGAGCTGGATGGGAAGTAGAATGGTTGGAACATGAACTGGTACACATATGGAATGCTGCCACTTACAGGCAGTTGAGCCATCATGCCAGCTCCTATTTCATTCCTTTAAATCTGAGAAGTATTCTAGTTTATGCATATATCATATTGTATGAGAACATTTCAAAGGTTTCATGGAAAATAGAATTTGAAAATAAGTTTAAAGGTCAGTGTTGTGATAGCGCAGATAAAACTGCTTTCTGCAATGCTGGCAACCCATATGGGTGCTAGTTCATGTTCTGGCTGTTCTACTTCCAATCCAGCTACCTAGTAATGATCTGGGGAAAGCAGTGAGAGATGGCCCGAATGTTTGGGCCCCTGCCGCCTATGTGGGAGATCCGTATGGGACTCCTGGCTCAGGGCTGGTGCAGCCCCAGCTGTTACAAATATTTGGGAAGCAAACGACGCAGATGGAAGATTTCTGTTTCTGTCCAGCCCCTCTTGTAACGCTTTCAAATAAATACATAAATATCTTTATACAAAGATAAGTTTATTTTGATGTGAAAAATTAGAAATCCATAAACTGCTTTTTCATAATATTCATCTTGTACAAGCTGTCAGAATATTCTTCATATCTTTGCATTAACCTGCTCTGAGACAGCTGAGTTGCTTCTGCATTGTGGCTACTGTGTATAAAGTTGTTACCAACATCTGTGCACACGTTTTTGTGTAAATTTAAGTTTTTAATTCTTTCATTCTTATATACCTAGGAAAGGAAACAGCTGAGTCATATGGTAATTATGTTTTTAGCTTTTAAAGGAATTTTCACACTGTTTTCTACAGCAGCTGCATCATTTTACATTCCTATCAGCAAAGTAGAGGGCCCAATGTCTGCACTTCTCTAACACTTGTTATTTTCCCTTATAAAAATGTTAGCTACCTAGAATGATGGACTTGTGACTATTGTAATAATATGAAGGAAAACAGTGGGGGGGGGGAGGGAGGTGAGGGGAATGGGGAAGTTTGGAGGGGAAAGCCCTGAGCCTATGGAACTATACCATGAAAAAAAAATTTAAGAAAATTTGAGCTGTCTTAGTGAGTGTGAAATAGTATTTCATTATAGTTTTGATTTGTATTTCCCAATGACTAATGTGGTGAACCTTGACATGCGCTTATTGGTTATTTATATATCTTCTTTGCAGAAAAGGGGTACCTATTTAGAAGCAGCTACAGCTAGAAGCTTTGTCACTTACAACTAGTAGAAGTTGTATGTAATTGAAATGCTGTCTCTCTGAACAGAGACCAGATCTGACTTTAGGTAGACATATGACATGACGCTGCTCAAAGACTTTGGTAAGCACTATACGTGGATTTCATATACTTTGGGAAAGGAAGGGTTTTCATGGTGTGGCCCAGTGTTTCTCTGACTTTCATGTGCAGATCTGAGAAGAGGTAGGCCTATCAAGTCAACTTGCTCACAGGGATGCGGCCACAGCTGGCCCACAGGACATTTTTCTGGGTATTAAGGCTCTAGACCTTGGCTGAGTTCTTGCTCTAGGCCAATCATTGTGATATCTCAGTTATACACATCAGATCAGTTAATCCTCACAACAATGAAAGCAACTCTATTTCAAAGCTCAGCAAAAGCCCAAGGAAGTTAATTAAGTTAGTGAAACTGGTAAAAGCTTGTAAATGGCTACACTGACTAATTCCAGAGATTGGTCTAAAGGCTATATTATATTGCCAAATAATTTAAGGAAAGTCTACCAACCTTCACAGGCTACCAAATGGATTTTTCCTCTCATATAAATGTCCTCACTCACTAGAGTTTACTCACCTTTGAAATATTTTCAAAGAAAGTTAAGAAACAGCAACAGCAAAATACTGGTGGGTAGAAAGTGTTATTAGCTATTGAAGACATTTGACAGCAAGTGATAAGCAAAAGAGAAAAAAAAAAAAACCAGAGGAACATATCCCAGGCTTAGCAACCTCAGGGATTTTCCTTGGCGTCACCAGCTTTGCCTCTTTTACCTGAATCACTGGCCTGCTGAGAGAACAGGGATTTACTTCTCCTTCTGGCTAAAGAAGCCTGTGTGGGTGTCAACAGTCGCATAACAAGAAAGTTTTCCATGGGACTAAGGTGCATGCGATGAGCTAAGGGATGTAATCAAATGAAAATTTTAAAAAGCAAAATTAAAACAGAAGATTTAAAAGATATAGTGCATGATGAAAATTAAATTTGGGGTCACAAAACAAGTATGGAAAATAAAAATATTTTAATGAATGATGACTTTGGAGTTTGTCACAGTAAAAAAAGACAAATTATGTGTTATTTAGAGTTTGGCAGAACACATTAATTCTCTTGGCTTGCCAGAACTTATTCAATATGGTATTACAGTACAATGACCTGGTATTAACCAAAGAGAATTCGTCCACTTCCCAAGATGTAATACAGACTCAAGAAACCATTTACTCACCAAACAGTTCTAACACTGAAAAAAGATTATACCTATAAAACCCTTGTTTTAAGCTTACTGTTAAAAAAACATAACATCAAATTTTAAAATGAAACACATTGTCCTATAATAATCCCAAGATATAGCCTTTCATACTCTCCCATGTAAATACGGGCAAAACTGATAAGCACAAAAATAGTAACAATCATTGGTTATAAGCTTTACTGGAAGACAATAATGTTCCTAATATAAAATTCAATGACCCGAGTATTTGGGTAGTTCTGGAATGTATTGTATGGCAAAGGACTAACTTTTCCATTACTATGTATTCTTTGAGTGTGTATTAACTGGAAAATAGTTTGAGGACTAAAATTTTTCAATTTATCACCTATATTCAGATAACTTGGTTATCAACGATATTTAGTAGCATTCTTTTTTCCATAGTAATTAATGCAAAAATTAATCCAATGTCAATCTGCGACATGTGAATTAATAAAAATATCTGGTGTAATACTCATTAGCTGGACAGCTATACAGTTAAGATCACGTAGGTGCTTTCTCATTTAGCCTTTACTTCCTTCCAGGTCCCTGGTATTTACTTATGAAATGTGTTTGATTTACAGTCTCTGACACGCATGCCACACCTCTGACTGGGAGAAACAGGCAAGGTCAGTACCAGTGAACAACAACCAGGAAGGGATACAGACCTCTTCCAAGTCAATTACATCATCCTGTGTGCTCTTGGAGATAATTTCATGTGCTCAACACTGCTGGCACTTGACACTCCTATGGTGATGTATTAAAAATGCATTTAACACTGGGAGAGTTTCCCCCCGTCCTAAACCTACTTGCTTTGAAAGGGTAAATTCAGATCTTAGGGACTTATCTGAGTCTCCATTAGAATCAAAACTTTGAACGTATACATTTTCTATCCTTATCGTCTCCTACCCCAAAACACAGTGCCTGAAATGGCTACCCATCTTTGTCTTCTTCTGCAAGCTTCTTGTTAAACTCTAGGCTTGTGTTCTTATCTATTACATGGAAGGCCCACAAACCACAAGCAATGGTCCCTAATTTTCACATATCTGTGTCTCCCATAGTACAGACTCATAAATTCTGCTCTCTGTTTCAAATCGTCCACATATTGCCACTGACTGGTGAGTTAATCTTTTTTAAAACTCACACATACCCACATGTACCCATGCTTAATGAATTCCTGTGCAAGATAACTCCTAAATGTGCTGTGCAAAGCAGGACCAGCTCTTTCAGACTAGGAGAGCATCACTATTTACCATCCTTATTTAACAATGATCTCGATCTAATGAGCAAAGCTACTTTCTCAAGTTTCATCTGTGAGACTCTTGGGGCTTCTATGTTCAGACCACAAGGGTGGTATTTGCAGAAAGCTCAAGAGGAGGCTCTCACAAAAGCCACAAAAGATGCTCACACCAAGCACTGGAAAGACCAGGTCTACATGCTCACTTGCCTCGATCTGGGGAATAGGACATTGCCGCAGTGGATGAAGACAGGCGTTTGCTCATGGGAGGCTCCGTCTGCTTTGGCAAATTCATGGCTGATGTTGAGAGTTTGTCACATGCTGCAGAGAAATGCATTGAAAACATTCATACTCATATGACTGTGGAGTGAGAAACACATATCCCCAAGTGTCCTTCCTGTCCTCATCCACACAGTCTCTAACCACAATACATTCTGCTTCAATCATATTTGTGCAGCTACATCAGCCACTGGCCTATAGCAAGATTTTACTTATGATTTCTTCATTGTGTTAACCTGTTCAATTTCAAATAATTCAGCCTCCCTCAAATGGTCAACAGAAGACATGTTAATCCCACCTGCAAATCATTTTTGGTGTCCAGGGATTTGAAAATATATTAATAAAACACAAAAAATGAAACTAAATTAGGTCCAGACACAAATCACTAACAAAATCTTCTATGGCCTGAGATTATGTACTGAAAGTGAACTTTTCCTGAAGGTCATCTGTAGCTCAGGTTCAAGAAAGATGCAATTTGTTATACAAGGAGATGTGTTTACATTATAATAACCTTTACTAGTCTATTTTTGCTCTTGTTATAAAAGATGGAGGCAAAAGTTCCTTTTGCAAAGGTTTAATGATTTAGGTTTAGGATTTTACCATGTAGCCTTAGGTTTGCTGCTTTCAAATTCCAGTCATTATTTCAGACTTGTTTCTCAATTAAATCATTATGCAAAATAAAAAGTGCTCTACCAAGCTGTTATAGCATAAAGAAAAATGAAGTATGTGTATCCTTGGCTACAGATGAAGCAAACTCATCAGTAATATTTTCAAAATCTACACCTCTGCCATCTTATTTTTTAAATGAAACAATAAATTTTTAATTAACTTGAGCTGAAATAAAAGCTATAAAAATCTGATTTGGGAATAAATAAATATTTCAAATGATATAAAATTTAATACTCCTACTTTTCAAATTTTTTTAGTATTTTTAAAAGATTTTTTATTTTTATTGGAAAGGTAGATTTACAGAGAGGAGAGACAGAGAAAGATCTTCTGTCCACTGGCTCACTTTCTTTTAATTATTTTTTTCCGTTGGCTCACTTTCTTTTTTTTTTTTTGAGACTTATTTATTTTTATTACAAAGTCAGATATACAGAGAGGAGGTGAGACAGAGAGGAAGATCTTCCATCCGATGATTCACTCCCCAAGTGAGCGCAACGGCTGGTGCTGCGCCGATCAGAAGCCAGGATCCAGGAACCTCTTCCAAATCTCCCACATGGGTGCAGGAACCCAAAGCTTTGGGCCGTCCTCGACTGCTTTCCCAGGCCACAGGCAGGGAGCTGGATGGGAAGTGGAGCTGGATGGGATTAGAACTGGCGCCCATATGGGATCCTGGCGTGTTCAACACAAAGACTTTAGCCACTAGGCCATGCCGCCAGACCCGTTGGCTCACTTTCAAAGTGGCCACAATAGCCAGAGCTGAGTCGATGAAGCCAGGGAACCAGGAGTCTCTTCCAGGTCTCCCACGCAGGTGCGGGGTCCCAAGGCTTTGGGCCGTCCTCCACTGCTTTCCCAGGCCACAAGCAGGGAGCTGGATGGGAAGTGGGACAGCCCAGACATAATGCGGTGTTCATATGGGATCTCAATTGTTGCAAGGCGAGCATTTAGCTATGAGGCTATTGTGCCAGGCCCAATTTTCTAGTTTTTTTTTTTTTTAAGTGACCTTAAAGTTCTAGGAAAAATTAATGACAGAAAACTAAGTCTAAATGGATGCATATTTTCCATTTTGCCTCAGGATCTTATGTGTATGGAGTTTTTCTACCAAAATTCAGTACTTTGCTACTGATTATTTTTCACTAATTTTGGTCTTTGAAAATATAATATTAAAATGCATTTGCTTGGGTCCAGCGCAGTAGCCTAGCAGCTAAAATCCTCACCTTGTAAGTAAGTGCTGGGATCCCATATGGGTGCCAATTTGTGCCCCAGCAGCCCCACTTGCAGCCTGCGAAAGCAGTCAAGGATGGCCCAAAGCCTTGGGACCCTGCACCCACATGGGAGACCCAGAAGAGGCTCCTGGCTTCAGATTGGCTCAGCTCTGGCCACTGTGGCCACTTGGGGAGTGAGCCAGCAGACAGAAGATCTTCCTTTCTCTCTTTCCTCTCTGTATATCTGACTTTCCAAAAAAAAAAATAAATAAAAATAAATCTTTGAAAAACTTATTTAGTCTTGATTATTTGGATTTTTTGGTGCCCTCTTACTCACCAGTGTCAGCCTCACTCGCCCTGCACTGCAGAGGAAGGACGGGGCCGATACTGTGTGTACTTGACCCAGGCAGCACAAGCTCTATTTAGCAAGTTATTCTTTGTCAAAGGATGCCAGAAGCCAAAGCTATTTATTTTCAGTGCTACTATGATACATGCTGCTGGTGAATGCTGCATCTGTAATCTAACATCTTATTTTCTCATTGCCAGGTAGACAGGTTGAACTCCTAAGTCCTTATTAAATGAAAAGAAGGTTTTGCCAGTACTGTCTTTCATAGAGCTCATAAGAACTTCCCAAGTCTGTATCCAAAAGACACAGCCTGTTAGAGAAAAGAAATGCATTACAAAACCAGATTATCTAAAGATTCAATTCCTAGTGTTAGCAGTGATGGCGTGCCTGGCATTCCCTGTTAAACACTTGTTCATTCGCTACATTCTGTGTTGATAGGTTTTGGTAACTAGAAGTGACGGGAATGTCCTACTACTTAATACCTAAAACAGATGATCAGCGAACTTGTTAGAGTTACATACATAAAAATCAAACACTGACAGGATTGTTCCAGGCAGAGATTAGTGAACTGAGCATGAAATGTCCAGGACACTAAGATGTAAAGCATGCACAGCTCCATGATGACACAACAACAAGGAATTATGGGCATGCCATTCACATTCCTAGAAAAAAAGTTTGAAGAGGTCAGACTAAGAAATCAACTGTAAAAGTGCTTGAGACAGACACAGAAATGAGAGTGATTGGAACAGCTTCACAGACGCCATGGCGCGGTGACGCTCGGCTATACCGTTGGCAGACTCGGCGGCGGCGGTCCCTGCATCCGGAGCAAGAGTGCTGGCTGCTAAAGCTAGAGCAGGGGGTGGGGCATTTTCTGATTCACCTACACAGCAAAACAGCAGAGCAAAGAGAGGTAAAAGAAAAAAGTTCCCAATTTGTTGTATTTTAATTTCCAATTACAAAAACTGAAAAGGAACTCAAAAAAGGAAAAAAAAAATTTCACTGCCAAAGGTTAAAACAGCAACTCAGCCAAGTGAAAGAAATGACTATAAACATTTTCTGTCAGAAACAGCTAGTTTACCACTCCTGGCCAGCAGAATGCTAACATCACTGAAACATCAAGAAACACCGGAAAGAGGAAGCTAGGACCAATGCGCAAGTACACTGAACATCCAAAACTTTAAAGATGAGTATGAACCAGAGAATGAAATAAGTCACCTTGAAGCAAAGACTAAAAGAGCAACAAACATTCATAACGAGAAAAGAAAAAGCCCCATCTCCTGTTGGCGAGGCAGTGCTGCCCTGCTGCCTGCTTGCTTCCGGAGTGCTGAATCAGTTCAGCCCTGGGCTTGCCCACTGAATGGCCAGGCTGTGGATGCATTTTCTTTGTTTGTTTGTTTGCTTGTTTTTTTGCTCAACCTCAAAGCACTGTAACTCTATCAACTGCTATTTGGCAGCAAAAAGGTCTAGTTTCCTTTTACAGAAATGCATGCAAAGGAGGTCTGGCAGTTTCAAACAGCACATCTCCAAACGGTCCCTGTTGAATGTACAATGTGTCCCTCAGAACCAAGCCGCTCCCATGTTCTCCCCAGTAGGGCCCTGCATTGCAGAGACAGCCTTCAACTTACCATCCCGTCCTCCAGGTCCCGTGGCCTGGGATGCTCCCCATGAACACTTCTTCTTCAGTTCCAGCTGCTGCGAGCGCTCCAGAGAACGGCGCATCATGGCCTCCAGCCGCTCCTGCCAGTGCACAGCAAGCGTCAGTGTCACAGGGCAAGATGAAGCAGCCAGCCCTACCACCGCACTGTGCCTCAATGCGCACGCTGAGTCACCAAATGAGCTTCTTTGCTCAGCATTTAAACCCAGACACTCTATTCCCTCTGCTTCCTTGGCTACACCACCACACACGGGAGGAGCTTCTTAGTGGGTGGAGAATAAACCATGCATTTAGGTTACGCTGCTCCTTAGTATGAACACCACGTCAGGTGCTGTCCTTTGCTTCTCCCTGTCCTCTCCTGCCCCAGGGAGAAGCTTCTGCTGAGCCAGACCTTGATGTCTTGAAGAATAATGCTAGACAAGCATTAACTCGTTGAGGCCTGCCTCCAGGCAGTTACACAGCATCCTGAAGAACTAACATTTTGCTCTAGAATGCACAGCAGCCTTTCTAGGTGAAAGCATAGAACACTTCGATTTGACAACATTTTAATTAAAATATAATTTTAATTTCATTTTTTGTAGCCTTAAGCCTAACTTTTTGGGGTGATACTTTATGATTATTTACAAAGCCCTATTTTTATATTAGAACTTCCTAAAGGGCAATCAACTGTTTTCACACTGTGACACTTCTCTGTTTCATAATTTTCTGGGGATAATATTGCATATTTCAAAGAGTGGATAGAGCAGTCATACTTTCCCAGAGTTACATAAGTTTTAGTACAGAAGGAAAAACCAAACAATCTTTAATTCAAACAGAAGAACAACAATACAGTTTTTCTCTTAACAGGATTTATCTAAAAGCACTCTCTGCTCCTTTCAGAAAGCTGTCCTTGGCAGGGAAGGGAAGCACTCTGATTCTATGAGGCCAGCCGCACAGTGACGCTGCACATGCCAGTTCCTCCCGGGCTCCCACCGGAGAAGGGCCGCCGCACAGCCAGCAGCTGCACCTCCTCCTTAGCTCTCAACCGAGAGGGGCTCTTAGCAACACCAGCACCCCATACAAGCACCAGTCCAACTCCAAGATTCTCTCTCTCTCTCTCTCCCTCCATCTGTCCCTTCCTCCCCTCCTCCCTCCTTCTTGGCAACTCTTAAAAAAAAATCTTAAACCAAATCCTGAGGTGCTACAGATTTGTGTTAATCCTTGCCCAACTCCAAAACAAAAACCTAAATTTCCACATGGCTTAAAAAAAAAGTGAGCAAGAAAATTAATTTAGGACAACATCAACTGCATAATCATGATTTAGAGATCAGAAAAAAAAGTTCTTTTATTTCACTTACTAGAAACACATAAGGGTCATCCATGTGGTATCTGGATAGCTATACTAGAAGGGGAAGATGAATGCTTAGCTTCACAAGATTTTTGCATAATTTTCCTCTAAACTGAACATTGCTAAGAGTTGTTCAGGGTTTGTGAGCAGGAAAAGAGGATTACTTTTCTCAGTCTGCTAAGTCCCAGATTCCTATGTGCTACCACCTGTGCTCCAGTGTGGGCCCAGGAATCTGTCATGAGTGTGCATTTCCTGATAGGATCCTGTACTTAAGACCCTGGCCCACTGAAGTCTGATGACTGACCCTGATAATCTGCCAAACAAAAGTTATAACTTGGGCACCTGTGTTTTCGCACAGAAGGTTAAGCCACCATCTGCGGCACCAACATGCCACACGAGCACCAATTCGTGTTTTGGCTGCTGTACTTCAGATCCGGATCCCTGTTAATGTGCCTTGGGAAAGCAGCGGAAGATGGTCCCCATCACGAGACTTGAGACAATCACGTGGAGTTCCAGCTCCTGGCTTTGACTTAGTTCAGTCTTGGCCACTGTGGCAATTTAGGGAAGGAACCAGTGGGTCAAAGATATCCCTCCCCCACCCCTGCCTTTTCTCCATAACTCTGCCTGTCAAATAAATACATTTTTTAAAAAAATTTAAAAACACAGCTTGGAGTAAACAGAACCTCTCTACCATTTGATGCCTGAAGTTGGGTCACTCAAGACGGGCTGAATGGTACTTCATGATATAGATCTGACATTAAGTATTTAATAATAAACATTAAAATCTTTCCCTCTTGAGCGCATTTAGCATGGGGTGGGTTGTGGTGAATTTCCTGCATGCCAGACAGACCTCACAAGAGTGGATCGATGAGAACAAGGCGACTGAAGCTCATGGAGCCAGCCAGCCCACTGAACAGGCAGGAGGGCATGACCAGAAGCAGTGTTCATCGGAAGGCAAGCCTGTCCTTGCTCTAGTCACTCACTTCTAGAAAGACTAACTCAGCCAGCTACCCTGAATCCACTGAGCTACTCTAAAAGCCACTCTGGAGATTTCTTCAACTCTAGCCCAGTGCTAGAGTTGGAAGCAGTGTCTTTGTACTGATAATTCAGTTTTTTGGACTGAAAGATGAAGTCACAGCAATCAGACTGTAGTCCACAAGTGTAACCCCCAGCCAAGGCTCTTCTTGAGTCCTTTAGTCACCAAGAGGTCCAAGAAATCATCCTAAATGGGTGGCTTCTTGGGAAAAGGAGGGCCTAGTTTTGATAATGTATTTTTAAACTAAAAAAAGAGGAAAGTAAATATACATAGAGGTTCTTCAAAAGGTTATGGAAAATGTATATTATGAAAAAGTATGCACTGATTTCAAATATTTTTCACAGCAAAACAAGTTATCATATTCCATTTTCCATGAACTTTTTTGCAATACTCTTATACTCTTACAAAGTAACAGACAACTGCTCATAGATTTAAAAAAATACTGAATTGATATGAATGCATTCATATTCTAGAGTGATAGAAATTACCCAATTGCTATATATTGTTCATACCAAAAGATGAGTCATATCTTATGAATAAAAAATGATTACCATAAGATACAACATGATTATATTCCCAAAATATACTTAATAAAATCTATAATCTAAATAACTTTCTGAATACATTTTGAAAATTTAGTAATAGGATTTTGTAGGGGTGACTGCATTTCACTTCTTGTCAAAAAGGTTACCAGAAAAAAGTGTGATTAATGCTAGAAACTGTATTAAAATTTAAATACATTAGCACCTTTTATCTGAAGGTAGACTTCTTTTCCAGTAGTGGATAATAGGATCATATTCTCCTTGTTCACAGCTCTTGCTCTGACCTTGTATTTGCCCTTGGAAATCAGATTCCTAGACACCCACAGGTCTATATCAGAGTCCCTATTCAAATAATTCCCTGTGAGCTTTAATTTAGAGAAAAGGTTAGTTCTAACAGGTGTTGGAGACCAATAAATTCAATTCCCCCACTTGGAAAACAAGCAAATCAAGGCCCAGACAAGTCGATCGTTTGCCAAAGATTACAAGGTGAATTAGCGCCTGCGCTTTGTAGTTATTAGTGCTACTGGCTGGGGAGAGGGCGCGGCAGAGGGCCTTGGCTCAGCTGCCTTGAGCACTAGACGCCGTGCGCGGCCTCGGGAGCTCACCTCCTCCTCCCGGAGCTTCTGCTTCCTCTTCTCTTCCACAGCAGCCCTCTTCTGATCCTCCCGCTGCCGCTGCTCTTCCAGTTTCCGCCATCGCTCCTCAATTTGCTTCTCATACTGGAGCTTGGCTCTTTTCTGCTTCTCCAAAATCTGTTGTTCCCGGGCAGCTGGAGAAGGAACGCCAAAGAGATATGTCCTATCCAGAGCATCCCTTGCCGCTTGGATTCAGATCAGAAATCAAGAAGAGGGAAGACCAAAAAAAGAGCCTGATGGGATCTCCTAGGATTTAGTGACTAAGTCTAGCACCTTTGCCTCTAGCTCGGTTATGACCCTAGGCTTGTTAACTATATAACCCTGTGTCTTGGCTTCCTACTCTGTGAAGTGGGCACAGCCGGGGCTGCTGCACCACAGTGTTGTGAAGATGAAGCCAAGATGATACATATCACACACACAGCAAGTGCTTCTACACACAGGAACTATGATGACTACTGCTAACATTGAGTAAAAAGAAAAAAACAGCTAATCCATATGACAGTTTGAGGAATAATATTTATAAGGGTATATCACTAACGGAATTCACCCTGTACCAGACCCTGAACTGGGAAAAGTTGTAAAAAAAGGTACTCTTTTCCTCACAATACAGCATGGTAACCATGACTTACCTGTCTCTATCTCACAGGAGGTTAAGATGGCCTTTATCAAGCAGGGCTCCCTGCTTTAATGCGAAAATGGACTTAAGTGCCAACTTCCTCAGTTCCGAGGGGGGTCTTTCTAGATCTCCACGACAGAATCCAAGTGAGTGCAAATAGTGAACTCTGGAGGGTACCATGATTCCGCTTGGTTTAGGGCAGCAATGGTATCCATTTCTTTGCCATGACATCCATATAGCTACTAACAGCGTCTGAGACATAGCAGTCAGTCCCTACGTTTCTTCCCATTCATGTAAAGAGCTTTAGAAAAGTCACAGACACAAATCAGGCAACTTACCCAGGCATTTCTCTCTTTCTTCCCGTCTTTCTTTGGCTAATCTTTGTCTCTCGTCTGATTTCAAAAATCCATCCATACCTACAAGACAGAAAACATGATGATTTTTCTTTTCCTTTTCCTATAGGTTGAATGCTACAGGCAGCTGGGCAGGTATCCTTGGCTTTGCCGCAAGCACATGTGATCCGTAATGAAAAAGTCCAGACTACTCCCTTGCATTACGCACAGTAGCCAGCAGCAGAGGGGCAGCCAGAGCTCCACCCATGCCAGCATGTGCTGTGGTGGGGCTGAGACCAAACTCAAAGGACCTAGCTTGTTTTTTTCATTCTCTGGCCCTGCGAAGGTCAGGAAGTGTGGTAAGGGACAACCGCCTGGCAGAGTATAAAGATCCTCACCAGGACTTTTGCAGCTTGGTGCCAGGCCTGAGGCACTATTGCATCAGGGAGAGGAAGGCACAGAAGTAGACAAAATTCTGAATGTCTATTACACACAAACCTCAAACATCCCAATTGCTGAAAGAAGGCAAATGCCAAGAGACACACAAAAGCTATGAAGGTCAATGTGGTGGAATGTAGTGCTCAAATTTGAATTCAATCTACCAATTTTACTCCAATGTCAATCTTAGTATGCTATAATCATAGAGAAGGGCCCAGTGTAATACTCTACTGACTAAATCCTCACCTTGTATTTGACATTTCCCATCCAGCTCCCTGCTTGTGGCCTGGGAAAGCAGTACAGGACGGCCCAAAGCCTTGGGACCTTGTACCTAAGTGGAAGACCTGGAAGAAGCTCCTGGCTCCTGGCTTTGGATTGGCTCAAGTCCGGCTCTTGTGGTCACTTGCGGAGTGAACCATCAGATAGAAGATCTTTCTCTCTGTCTCCTTCTCTCTGAAAATCTTACTTTCCAATACAAATAAATAATTTTTTAAAAACCACAAAGAAGACAGCAATATTATATATTTCTATTTATCAATAAAATGTCTATAATACATAAGGTGGAACATCTGACAGCTTCCTCCAAAATGTGTAAGAAATACCCCTGGAGCTCCAAAACTGCACCCCAGCAGCTCAGAACCCTAAAGGATTTTAAAGGTCAAATGGATCTTTTTTAAAATTTTTAAAGGTTTATTTATTTTTATTGGAAAGTCAGATATACACAGAGAATGAGACAGAGAGGAAGATCTTCCATCTGATGATTCACTCCCCAGTGGTCACAATGGCTGGTCTGCACTGATCCAAAGCCAGGAGCTAGGAACTTCCTCCAGGTCTCACGTGGGTGCAGGGTCCCAAGGCTTTGGGCCGTCCTCGACTGATTTCCCAGGCCACAAACAGGGAGCTGGATGGGAAGTGGAGCTGCTGGGACATGAATTGGCACCCACATGGGATCCCGGCATGTGCTAGCTGAGGACCTTATCCTCTAGGCTACTGTGCCGGGCCCTAAGTGGAACTTCATGGTAGTTTCATTAGAAATAATTTACTGCACTCTGTTGTAACTGGTCATTCACAAGCATAATCAACACAATGTTTAAGTGCATTGCTCAAGAGAAATCAGCTTTATTGTGATCACAACCATATTCACTTTCCCTGCAGGTTTTCCACTCTGGGAGCATTACCTGATGACTTCACAATGTTCCTTGCCACCAGTTATCTGCACTCCCTCTCCAGGAGCTTCGTGCCTTTGCAAGTCATGGACCCAGAGATCTGACAGTGGGAATATGGAAGGGGGTGACACAACACCAGCAAATTGCCATGACTCCCCAGATGTGTCTGTTTTTATAGTCTGGATTACATGTCAGGAATATTAAAGTTCAAGAGGAAAGTATGAGAAAATCCACCTTAGCCTGTAAGCACCACTCTTTACACTTGCTTTCAGTCATCCTTAATTATTATCATACTACCAACAACATGAATGTCATCAAGAATTTAAAGGCCTTTGGAACCAGTGTTGTAACACAGCAAACAGACCCCTCCTGCGATGTCAGCTTACCATATGAACTTCAATTTGAATCCTGACTGCTCCACTTATGATTCAGTTTTTTCCTAAAGGCCTAGAAAAATTAGCAAACATGGTCCAAGTACTTTGGCCCCTGACACAAAATGGGAGATCTGGAAGATGCTCCTGTCTTCTGCCTGGTCCAGCCCCAGCCACTGCAGTCATCTTGGGAATGAATCAGAGGATGGAAGATCTCTCTTCCTGCCCCCTCCATTTCTTTCTATTCCTATGTGTGTATGTAACTCTGATAAACACATCTCAGATAAATACATCTTTTAAAAATACTTCAGAGGGGTTCAGACCGTGGGGGTTGTGGCAAAAGCAGCTCCCTGCAGTGTGGCGGCTGTGGGGGGGGGGTGCCCCAGCCAGGCCAGACCCAAGGCTGGGGACTCAGGCCAAAGTCACTGCCGAAAGGCAGTTGACAGAGTCCTGGGCTTTGGGTAGCCACTGCGCCTATTTGGTGCGAGGCTCTGCCTGCTGGCCGCCCAGCGGCGAGCTTTGGGGTTTTTAGGATATGTAATTGCTGCCTAGGGAAACACATGAATAAGGTCAGTGTGAGTGTAGGTGAGGGATGAATTCTGGGTGATTCCCAGCAACAGGGTCGCAGAACTTTCTGGCAAGTGTGGTGACTGAGACCTGGTGGTTTGGAGGGGAGAGTCTATAAGATCTATTTGGGTCAGACTGATTCACCAGCCCAAATGGGACATGTGTGAGAGCTAAATGGGATGTAGGACAGACTGAGCAAGCCTGCAGTACATACTGGCATGCATGGGAGCCAGGGTAGGGGGCAGGCCTGGTGGAGGTTATGGGAGTCGCCCCAACTAGGCTGCAGCTCCCACTGGTTTGCATGAGGGCCAAGTGTGAAGTAGGCAGGATCAGGCTGGACTGCAACACCCATTGGTTTGCATGGAAGACAGGGAGGAAACAGAACTGACCCAGCAAGTGCAACGACCAGCATGTGCATAAGCTGATTGGGGTGACGGACTGTGCCGGACCCTGATGTGGCCAGCACACACCAGAATCAGGTCTGGGATCACCTCAAATAGTTTCTTTGGAGATCCCTCCAACTGAACTGCTGATCTCAGAACCCCAACCATGAAGGGACTATGTCAGCCAGTAGATTCTGAATAGATTTCATCATGCTTGGAACGGTGAGATGGGCAGCAATTCAGAACTGTTGAACTATCAAAACTGCTTGAGTAGGACCCTCAGAGCATGCCCCAGATCGGGGACCTGGGATGGATGGGAGGCTGGGTGGGACTTCTCCATTTGTTTCTTCCCTGACCCCAGATACAGGGGGCAAAATGATGATATTAGTGTGGAAACAATGGTATTACCCACTTTCCAGTAGCCCTTGACCCTCTGTACCCTAATCAACTAAGTAAGATTATTTAAAAAATTTTAAAAAAAATACTTTAAAGACCAAATACTGGCCTGGCATGATACCCTAGTGGATAAATCCTCACCTTGCACACACTGGGATCTCATATGGGTGCCCCACTTCCCATCCAGCCCCCTGCTTGTGGCCTGGAAAAGCAGCAGAGGATGGCCAAGGCCTTGGGACCCTGCAACCCACATGAGAGACCAAGAAGAAGCTTCCTGGCTCCTGGCTTCAGATCGGCTCACCTCTGGCCATTGCGGCCACTTAGGAAGTGAACCAGCAGATGGAAGATCGTTCTATCTTCTTCTGTCTGTATATATGCCTTTCCAATAAAAGACCAAATATCTCAGCTCATTTAGGTACTGTGCAATCTGACACCAATCTTTCTTTTCAGCTCGATTTCAACAGTGCCTTTTCTTCCACACACCTTCCTGTTCACATCATCCCTTCTTAAGCTCCACAGGCCCCATGCTAACTCTGCTTTCCCACAGAGCTGCCACCCTGTAACCTGGCCTCCCCAAGGGATTCCAGACCTCTGGATATGCCCAGCCAGCCTTGTCCTCCTGTGGCTGCAAGGCAAACACACAATGCTCAAGAACTGGTACAAAGTTGGTGGAAGGGGAGCAGGAGAGAAGGCTGTTTTCTTTCCCATCAACATTTTCAAGTTGTTGTATCTACTTCATGTTTAATTAGCAAAGATTACCTCTGTGTGAAAAGCTATAGAGAAAAGCCTAGGACAGCTGGACAGACACTCCCATCAGTACCAAAACTAACTTATTCATCCAGCAGAACCCAGGCTTTGCTCTATATTGCCCATGCACCTCTAGGTACTAATAGGCCCACTACATATCGAAGGTAAGCCTCAGGATTGTTGAAAGTGCTCTTAAAACAGAAAAAAGAACAAAGAAAGAGCTAGCACAATTCAAACTATCACACTACCTTGATGTTGTATAAAGAGGTGGCTTATTCCAAAAACATACATGATTTCCGCCTGCCCCCTTGTGGCCCATGAGAGAGTCACACCTTCAAATCACTTCAGAAACTGTTAGTGCTCACCACTGCTGTCATCATTAGCATCAAAACAGGAAGTAACAAGTAGTTATTATGGCTCAGTTCAACCACCCGATGACAACAGAGGTTCTAATATGGTCCTTGTATAAGATGTGTAGTCGCAGAAACACAGGAACAAAGTTAATAAACTTGCCCTGAGTTACTCTGTGAAAAGTAGTCAAGCCAGAATCCGAGAAAAGAATTTGAGTCTAGAACCTATACTTTCTTTTCAGAAAATTTTCAAGTATTTACTTGTATTTGAAAGTCAAATTTACAGAGAGAAGGAGACAGAGAGGAAAGATCTCCCATCTGCTGGCTCACTCCCCCTGTGGCTGCGACCGAGCTGAGCCAATCCAAAAGAGCTAGGAGCTTCCTCCAGATCTCCCACATGGATGCAGCGTTCCAAGCCTTTGGGCCATCCTCTGCTGCCTTCCCAGGCCCAAGGAGCTGGAAGGAAAGCAGAGCAGTTGGAACACAAACTGGCACTTATATATGATCCCAGTGCTTGGAGGTAGAGAATGGGCCAACTGAGCCATCACACCAGCCCCCAGAACCTATAATTTTTTAACAACTATTTATCCTTTATTTTAAAGGCAGAAAGAGAAAGAAATATCTTCCATCTGTTGGTTCACTCCTCAAATGGTCACAGCAGCCTGG